GTACCTCCCTGGTGGCCCAATAAGAATTGATTTCGACTATATCTGGGCAACCGTTAATAGTACAGTTTCTGAAAAAATAATTCAATGACGTAGAGTGGTCACAAGAAAAACATAGAAAATAGTTAGAGAATTGTAGGAAGACCGCTAGATAGTGTAAATGAATACCAATTAATAAAAAGCGTAATTTATACCAAATTTATCAAGTTACGGTTACGCCATCTAGCGGTCGTATTGCAATTCTCAAAATAATTTCCATGTTTTTCTTGTTACCACTTTCATATTGAATTTTTCCCAGAAGCTGTACTACTAACGGTTCCTCAGATATGGCTGAATGCCGTTGTTATTGGTCTCAAAATAATTTTCATGTTTTTCTTGTGACCACTTTCATTGATTTTTTCCCAGAAGCGGTTCCTAACGGTTCCTCAGATATGGCTGAAAGCCTTTCTTATTGGATCACCCAGTACAGCATAAGTTTCGAACAGCCTAATTATGTCCAACCGTTTGTCAGAAAAAACACGTGTATAAATAGGAAATTTTACATAATATTCAATAATAAAGAAATTGCCTATAGCCATTACGGCTATATCAAGCTAGCGGGCACTCTGCGGCGGCACCACACAAGACCTGGTGGGTTTTTTGTAGCTTTTTTGTTACGCTATTTGCGAATTTGTAGCTTTGCCCAGGTTCGAAAAAACAGCGGATCCGCTAGATTGAATTTCCATAGTAGCGGCACAGATTCAGACCCAGCTGATTTTTCGTAACTTTTTTGTAGCTTTTTTGTTACGCTAGTCTCCCTTTTGTAGCTTGTACAGAAAATAAAAATCGTTAAAAGATTATGGCTAGGAAGACAGTGGCGATTTAAAATTTGGGGGTTATAATCTATTTAAAAATACCTTCAAAATACCAGTGGTGGCTGCATCGAGCATATAGGGTTGTCAGATATACCGTTTTAGGTGGGGGCCTCCAGCCTATCCAGCAATTGCCATTTGACAATACCTTTTTTTTTGAAGAAAATTTTCATAAAATCAACTTTAAAATAGCCCCCATTTTCCGCATAGAAGCCGGGCACCCAAAGCGATTTTTGAATTCCGGCGCCTATGTCCTTGAACCGTTCTTAATGAAACGTTTCAAAAACACATGCAGCTGGTTTAAACCTAATTTAAAGTGACGTCATTGTTTGGTCACTCGAATGGGAATAGTTCAAACCGTTTTCAAATAGCATGAAATATATTTAAACCAGTCGACCGCTCGAATATGGCTTAAAATGGCTATTGCATTTGAAGGTGTATTGAATTTTGATTCATCTAGAATCTAGATTTATTTTTCAACACCTTCCAATTTTAAGCATGTTTTCAAAAGATGGGACGATGGATTTCAGCAACAAACAATAAAGCACTTCCAGATATTGGTAGTGATGCAATTTATACCACATCAGAGATCTCTGTACCACATTAAATATGCAGTCGTCATATTAAGGATAACCAAATAATTTATAAGTGTCTTAAGAAAAATGCACCATTACTGTTTGGCAGCAACGGTAAGTAATATTTACAAACTTGTTTTTGATTCAGTGTTAAAATAATTGGTTTGTTATTTAAATTTATTTTTGTTTTCAGTTTTTAAATGATCATTGTTGTAAAGAAAATGTTGGCCCTCCAAAATACCCTGTCGATCGATGAAATATTTGAGCCTCAGCCATCAATATTAAATTGATTTAATGCCATTGACATCAAACAAGAAAACACCCTAAAATCTTCAAGGTTCCAAACGTGTGTAAGTTTAATTTATGCTCAAAAGTTAAATTCATTTATCACAGTGCCCACATGATGAATAAAAATTTGATAACTACAAGTACTGTATAAATGAATCAAGAAAACAATTATCAGATGAAGAAATGCTCCTCAATCTAACTAGTTGACTCAATAACCATATGGCAAAAAAGGATGATGCTTCAACTTCAATTTTTTCAAACTTATTTGCCACTCCAAGTCGCGAAACTTTTATAAAGGTCTTAAGAACTTATATATGCTGATTTTGTTACAGAAAACATTTTTTATAGGTTTGTTTTATAAATATTTAATTATTTAAATGGTGTAAATGCATATATTTGAGTATTTCCATGTTTAAATAGACAAATTATATGATGCGGCGTTAATTTACTGTAATAAATTGCATTTTATTTCAAGTTTGAAATTAATGCAAAAATATAATGAAGTAAAATCAAATAAAGATATAAATTGGCAAAATATTTGACTAGTTTCAAATCACAAAACAGTCAATATGGTTGTTTTATGGTTTGAAACTAGTCAAATATTTTTCTAATTTTTTTGCTTTATTTGATTTTCTTCATTACATTTTTGCGCCACTACAAAGTTAAATTTCAAAAAGCCCGCTCGTGGCGGCCATATTAAATTTTAGTACCACTCCAATTTGATAGATGGAAGCACATCGACTCAGAATTTCCCATCTACTCACATTAGTAATCTATGGGTGAGCCTCTGTTGTGATTGACATTGTCAATATATATAGTTGTATAGATTGCTCAAAGCGGGTCGTTTGCGAGCGCCTCGCAAGTACTCATTAATCAGAATCGATTTTGCTAAAATGTGTTCACAAACCAATATTTAGCCTTTGAATATAGTAAAAAAAATAATTACCTATACTTTTACTTTAAGGCATAAGCTTATGTTTATATTGAAAAATATGGATGATCAATCTATGTAACTATCTATTTCATTGACCTTGTCAAATCACCAGGGGGGCTATTTTCAAAGTATGGGAGCACTCAATAGGTCTTTTCCTTTGCATCGAAAGTGTAGCACTGTCAGTTCACACTGGCCCTAAGAGCCCTAAAAATACGGTTTTACGTTGACGTATGACATTTCTCTTGAGAGAAATGAATTCTCTCGAGTTTGAAAATAGCCCCCCGGGCCTACAGGCACAGTTTATAGCTAAAGAATCAGTTCGCTCACTCTGCGCCGGCACTTTTGATCTCAATGTTCCAGTTTATACATTGCGCAACTCGGATTTGTATCCCTGGCGCATACGGAATCAAATCATAATAGCCCAAGAGCCCACTGTAAACTTTTACTGCCATCTGATAATGAAATAAAATATACCCCAAAAGCTTGTAAAAACATTGTACTTTACCGAATGGCACCTGTGACAATCCCAATCCTGAGCAAAGTGTTTAAAAAATATATATTTTATATTAAAAAAATCACATAAGGCATGACAGCGCTAATTTTGTTTGCCCTTAAAGTTTTCCAGATAATAACATACTCAAATATATCTTGATATATATCGTTAACGGGAAAGATTTTCTTCCTCTTAACATCGCACAAAAACATCTACAAACGATTAGTAGGTAAAAAATCATTAAAAATATGAATCAATTTTTGCTGATTTAAGAATTTATTTGTATGCCTATTGTTGTGATTCATTTTTACAGGTCGTCATAGAAACGACAAAAAAATTACTATGATTATAGTTTAAAAGAATTGTCTAACAAGAGTTTATAATTATTATTGACTATCTCTGCCAAAGTTAGGTAAAAATATTAATAATTCAGGTTTAAAAGCTAGGTTCACAATGAATTAGGATTGTCATTTTCAGAGAAAACACAATTATCGCTGTCATGTCTCATGTAATTTTTTGTATATAAAATAATTTTTTTTAACCACTTTGCTCTAGATTACAGATTGGCACAGGAGCAGTTTGGTAAAATACAATGTTGTTACATGTCTTTGGAGCATATTTTATTTTGTTATCAGATGGCGGTCGTAATTTGCAGTGGGCTCTCTTACTATTAACAATAGCTGTCAGTGAGAAGGTCTGGTATATCTAAGGGGGTAGAGACATAGTCTTGCATCTTGAACGTTTTTTTTAATTCGAAATAATAGTCACAAAGCCTGCCAATTTATGAAAAAATGTATATTATTTTTATTGTGTTTGACATAAAATATTTAAATGTTATCCATTATTCAGATTTTGCGTATTGTAAACAGAAAACATTGTATGTCGCAACCCTTGGATATATCAAATCTTCCCACTGACAGTTCATTTGTTTGGAATGCCTAATACAATATATGACAACCACTTATATTCAAACAGCAAGTCTTCTGCGCATCCTGAATTTGTATCCCTGGGATGTTATTTTGGAACATCCAATTGGTCCGAGTGAGCGAACTGATTCTTTCAAGCTATAAACTGTGCTACAGGTTTGCCATATCATAACCTGTCAAAACCCACTGGTAGCCGTTTTGTTTGGAATGCCTAATTATTTTTACCAAAATAACAAATTTAAACAAAATTAAACTACATATAATACAGTTACAAAAGTAATTTTAAAAAACTGCTACTCTAAGAATTTGATGACAAAATTCATAAGGGACCATCCCTTTCTAACAAAGGACAACGTTTTAATAATTATCGCTAAACGTATATAAAAAATATTCCGACGAATAAAGAACCTTCTTCTTTTTTGAAGATTGTTAATAAGTATTCTAATATAACTAAAAATTAAACCCTGTATTATTTAAAATTATTTTCTAATTAACCATTATCTCTTTCCCTCAAAATTAATTAAAACCCTCCATTCTGAATTAATTTGATTGACAACGGTCTCTTTTATCTAAGCAAAAAACATTGTCCGGTCCACTGTACTCAATCACTTAATTCGAGTCAAAATAAACCGTTGCTTCTTGCAGAGGCTAGTACTGATTCTATTGAGCCATCCCAAATTTCGTTGAGTGTCAGAAAAGCTACACACCTCTAATTAAAGACGTGTGTGACAGAGAGTGAGGATAGTATCTTAATCACATTTATTGCTAGTAGACGGCTTCCAGTATATTCATGACTTATTAGGTGTTTATAATTGTAATAAATAAAAGACTATAAATTAATTATCAATTTATTTTACAAAGTAACTAATCAATCTTTAGTCTGAAAAAATATTTGGACGAATACATAATATAAATAGTACTTAAAAACTAATTGAGTAGTCAGGTACAAAATGCAATTTATAATATAAAACATTCACACATACCATTCAAAAAATTCAAAACTCCTATCATCAATATCATAATATTCAACACTTATTATTACTGTTTTAGTTTAGAATGCACTGATTCGACTTTATTTAGCGAAATGTTTTACGAGAAATCTTTATAGAAAAAAAATATGTGCTGCATGGCAAAACCATAAATATGGCCCAAATCTTTCTTCTTTGCTTTTTTCTGTATAAGGCGAGTAAAATTTTAGTGACTTTACTATCTATGATTCTGAATAGGCAGAAATTACACGTAGGATTTAAATAGTCTAGGTATTTAATTTAATTTTGGCTTTAAACATGTCGTAGCTGGAAAGACAAAGTGGCGTAACTCCAATTTAGCTATTTTACAGGAAACGCACGTAAACTTTTGGTGTATAGTGGCATTGCTTATGGCATATTCGTGAATTTAATTTGCCATGTTATATTAACTATAAGGAGGAGAGATACGCCTCTTTGTTACATCATAGATATCCACTTTAACAGTTTTGTGGTAGTCTTAATTCAAATCGGGCATTTTTCGACGTACGCTCCTTTGTCATTCCAGAGACGATGTGATTGTATTAGATACTTTCAAAATAGCATTCATTGAATATTTCTTATTTTGAATTCAGTTTTCTACAAGAAATAATTATTGAAGATCTAATATTTGAGATGGGTTTTTAGTTTTGTATCGCTAAAGCAAATCCAAAAATATATGTAGCCCGAAGGTGAATCACACCATGTCCCATTTTTAAAAATGGATCAACACAAACCAAATATTGTCATTGGAAATTTAAGACAAGAGGAGTTGTATTATACATATTTGGAAATAGTGAAATATTACACTACTTATGGAGCTGAATTGTGGGAAATGAAAAGAAAATTTTAACAAGTTATACGCGATATGGATAGGAAACAAGAGACTGCTGTAGACTTACGTTGCAGATTAGCGGATTAAGGTCCAAAGTCGTTAAGAAATAAGCCAAGCTTAAAATGCCATTTCTCCATTGACAATATCATTTTAAGCTTCGCTTAGTTCTTAACTACTAGCGATGCGAATGGCCCTTAAAGTTAGGAATGAATACAGTGTGAGTATTTAGGTTGGAAATCTTAAATTATCTACGTAAGGCAACGTTTTGGCAAAAAACGCTGTGACAGGTCAAATTTTAATTTTAATTTTGCTTTTATTTTGGATAATCATTGCTATGACGATGTCATATTATGATATCGAGAAGACGTCATCCAATTTAAATACAACGTTTGTGATCACTATCACTATTACCCTTAAGTTAATATTTTTAAGATACAGGTCCTTAAATTTCACAATAAATATGTTACGAGTATCAGCAAAATGTTGCGGAAATTTAACCAACTGTTCGCTTATTATCAAGAAGTGAAAGGATTTCAATTTGAGTATCTCATTTAAACCTTTTTTCCTTCTTTTTCTTTAAAAAAACCAATACTTCTGTTTCTGTTATTACAAATTAAACATAGTTTATAGTAACTAACTTATTTTTGAAACTTTAAGGACCTCTATCTCAAAACCTATCAACTTTCAGGTAATAACCATTTTTCACCAGTTCGGTCATGGTCTAATCCCTTAAGTTCCTCTCTGCCTTATTTAGGCCTTATACGGCCTCCACATTTATGATTATTTATTTATAGTAAACATACAATAATAAGCTTTATCAATATTTTGTTGAATATTATGGAATATTTCATATTAAATGGTAGTAGGGGAAGGCGGGGCACATTTGATAGCGGGGCACATTTGATAGTAGGGCACATTTGACAATTTCAAATTTACCGCTTAAACTTTGATCACTGACAGTCTGTCTTACTTATATAGCAGCATTGGCTCCTATCAATGTTCAGTTGAAATCTCTGGTTCGTGAAGGGCGTATTGCGGTAGTTACATTAAAACTAAAAATATCGTACATAAAAATTTTTGGGAGAGCAATTTATAAAATAAGGTAAGTTAAAATAAATTATTGTTTAGGTTACACATTTGTTATTATTATATAACTAGACTATTTACTTTCATTTTTTGTCAAATGGGAGTGTGTAAAGTTTGGTTTTAGATTATAAGTGAAAATTTCTAAAATGAGGTGGAGGGGCAGATTTGCCATTTGATGAAGGGGCAGTTTCGACACGTGTCAAAACTGCCCCATCGCATTTTAGTAATGTTTTTAATGCTGATTTTTTGTTTTAGGTGTACATAATGGTTCTAAACTATAAGAAAAAAACAAACATGTGTGTTATCGATTAAGAAAACATAAGAAAAGCTCTTAATGATATTGCTTGTGGAAAATATTCGTGCAGTGAAGCGTCATTAAGGTACGGTATTAACCGGACTACGTTAATTTACCGAAAGAAAAAACTTGAAGGTGAAGATTCTGGGGGAGAAGAAAAACCTACATATTCCTATAAATATGCAAGTCGGCAGGTATTTACAAATGAAGAATTGCTGCTTGTAGATTACCTGAAAAAATGCTATTCCTTGAACTACGGATTAAATTATAACCAAATGAAAGCTTCTGCTTATCAATTTGCTCAAGCCAAGGAAAAGAAGATGCCTTCATCGTGGCAAACTAACAAGTCAGCTGGTAAAAACTGGATGCTTTATTTTATGAGAAGACATAAAGATAAATTATCGCTTCGAAAAGCAGAAGCTCGAATTAACGGATTTAATAGTGAGAGTGTTTTGCATAAATATAAATTCGAATCGTCACGAATTATCAACGTTGACGAGACTGGCGTGACCACCGTTATGGATTAGCTCAAAGTGATAGCTCCTTTAGGACAAAAACAAGCAGTGAGCCAAGCAGTTTCAGCCAAAAGGGGTTGCCTTGTTACAATGATTTGTACAATAACGGCACAAGGTAATTATATCCCGACTGTTTATATTTTTTCAAGGATTCGCTACAAAGACACTTTCACGAGAGGAACTCCAACAGGTAGCTTAGGATTATGCAACAAAAGCGGATAGAGCACTGCAGAATTATTTATGGATATGTTAAAACATATTAGAAAACATCTACAACCAAAAGCTGAAGAAGACAAATATCTCCTTCTTTTAATGGATAATAGCGTAACTCATATTTCAGTACAACGGTATTATTTTGCTAAATTTTCCTCCGCATACCTCCCACAAACTCCAACCGCTTGATGTTGCAGTTTTCTCATCTTTCAAATCTTTTTTAAAAAAATCTCTTAAAAATTTTATAATCAAGCATCATGGCCAAAAAGTATCTATTTGAGTATGATTTTGGAGAAATAACTTCTGGTCCATTTTTAGATTCCTTTACACCAAAAAATATAACTTCTGGTTTTTCTGCCTCCGGCATTGTTCCATTTGATTCAACCATATTCAATGAATCTCATTTCATTCAATCTGAGCATGAAACCCATTCGCCGCCACCCCACTATAAGTCGTTGGGTGGCGGCTTCGCCGCCTCCAAAAAACATCAATCCATACCTGGCTACGCCGACTGGCATAGACTCCAACGGCCTGGACACAGCTCAAATTGAATAATTGAAATGAAAAGTCTCAAATAAACACATTTATATTCTGGTTTTATCATCTGGCTTGGAGCTATTGAAAAAAAGCCACTGTCATTCCTGTTATGTACGTTCTTTTACTATGTTTGACAACACCACATTTATAGAAATAAAAATGTTATGTCATATTATTCATAAACAAAAAATAATATAGAACGGTATTACCATGAATATATTTAGAACAAATAACAAAAAGCAATTGGCAACATCGCTAAAATCACGCACAGGCGCTCTTAGTGTGACTGTCAAATCGAAAAAATTAAAAACAATATGGATACGTGAGAATGTCGTGAATAAATGCATATTCTTCATTTTTTAACTTACAAATATGTTTTAATAATATTTGTTGCTTTAATTAGGTTAGTGGACACTTATAGAAGATTAAAAAGTGTAAAAATATTATGGTTTTACTTAATCTTTATGGAAAAAGTGACAAAATTACTGTCCCTAATATCGACGGTAGCCCACTACTTTTTTTGACATGTCCGAAAATAATGACTTTTCATGAAAAGTCCCATCACTAAAAAATAATATTGCTGTTTTTAAGTGTATTTAAATTTGACATATAAGTTTCTACCTGAAAAAATTGGATGACCTCTTAGCGAAGTAATCATCACATCGTCATAGCAATTGTTATCGAAAATAAAAGCAAAACTAAATTTAAAATTTGAGGTGCCTCGGCGTTTTTTTGCTTAAACTTTGCCTAACGTAAATATAATTTGAGGTGTCTATCGAGTATTAAAAGAGGTACGAACCCCTGTGTCAGATGGAATATATGGCTCAAGATACTACTTAATTGGATACCATATAGCTTGAAGGGAAAGAATTGAACAAGTCATAATACACCGTAACAGAAAATAATTATTTATGGTACTAGTGTGTTATGGATTATAACACACTAATGTGTTATTTGATAGTTTACTTGTCTAAAATGACATCAATAATGACAGTCATAACTGTCATGTGTTAGATAAATAAATAAATTGTGTTAGGGTATTTTACCTTCGAGCTACAAGAATAAAACCATCTCAAAGGGAACACTTTTCAGATAGTATCACAGAAAATTTAATTTCTTGCAAAATATTATTACCATTAATGGTGAAAATGTATTATTTTATTTATAAAAATCGTCGGATTAGAGTACAAAAATTAAAACGAAGATTTTTCGTGAAAAATTTCTTATTTAAAATACAAGTCTTCTGATATATCCCATGCTTTTGGGCGCTTAAAATTACTTATTACGATTCTTAAAAAGTTAAATATAATAAAAAACACTGACTTAACTTACTTTTGGTATGATTAAATCTATGCACGTAAAAAATGTAATAAAGAATTATCTATATCAGTACAAAAAAAACACAAACATGCCGAAAAATTACATACAAAGTCTCAAATAAGTTTTATTACCTAGTGATTACCTTTCAACTATTTTATTTTCTTATTTTAAGGAACTTAGCAGTCATGGTTTTCTATATTGGTGAGATTGAATTCTGCTATGTTTCAGGGTGTCGATTTTTAACGGGACATTCTATAAATATAGCTGCCCATTTATACTATTTCTTCTGTTTGAACTAAAGTTGGATAAGCACTAAACAATTAGTACAGTGGTAAAAAGTTATCAACTGAGAACCAAGTTTCATTTTTATTAACTACAATCAACTACTTTAAATAAAACTTGGTAATACCATTCAAAGCGCTGATACAGGATGTTTTAAAAGGAGATATACTAGTTGGGAATTCATTTAAAAATACATTAGAAATCATTATATCTACATTCGTTTAAAAAACATCCTGTATAACAATAACAGCCAGTAAGAAAAACGTTCATTAATTATTTTTTAAATAATATAAATGAACATTCTTGATACCTTCAAATGATGCTCCCTCCGTTCCAAATAAATATTTTTTTAGCAACTACTTTAGGCTTTGAACTTCGAACTCCGTATAAACCGAGCCTGGCTCCAATAAATTCCTTATATAATAATTAAAAAACAAGTTTTATATCACAGATTACACATCCACATTTAAAAATCGATAACCCATTGTGTTTTAACGTATTTTAATAATGAGGTAGATCGTTATACAGATTGATTTGTTTCTGAATGTAATTTCCTATTATATTTAGGGTTAATATTGTATAAAAAAATCAGTGACTCTCACTTTTCACGGAATCATTCCTGTATTTTCTTTAATAGAAGTAAGATTAATTTAAAACAATACTGATATAGTCGCATTTAATATAGATCATTTCGTGTCTTTTAGGGGTTTAGAGATTTTATTCTATTCATACAAGAAGTGGGAATGTTTTCCTTCTCACTTCTTTATATTCTTTAAGGGTGTCGGATTGACGTAGACATTTTTAAAGTTAGTATAAATATTTTACATAAATAGTTTTCGTGATATTTGACCTACTAAATAAAAAAAAAAAATGCATTGATGAATTCCTACACCTCTATCTGAAGCCATGTTTTCAAATAATAACATTGCATTGATCCTTTAATACATTACAAGAATACCTATATAGGACAAGTCGACAACAAAAAACATTTGCAATAATTAAACGCTACAATTAAAATATTAAAACAAGTAACATATTTAATTATCTTGTGAATATATTTTAACACCATAGTAGAATTTTTGTAATAAAAACGATTTTCTTAGGATTGATGTTGAGGTCTTTAATTGCTTTTGGAAGGGGATTATAAAATCGAATACCTTGATATGTTGGTGATAACGCAAATTTAAATGATATATCGTCGGCTTAATCTGCAAAACCCGTAAGTCCACATTTGATCAAATTTGACATTTTAATACCATCTTTCGTAAAAAAAATTGATCAATTTGCCAAAGAAATTTTAGTAACTCCAAGAAAATCGTTAATTTGTGACTTCCAAATTTGATAAACCCGTAAGTCCAATCCTGGCTGAAATCATAAATACAAGCCCATAAGTCCGCCATTATACATCACGAAGCAGACAGGTGCAGTAGTGTTCTTCAAAAATATTGTTTATATATATTTATAATACAAGGTGAGTACGCTAAATAATGTTTATAATATTTAAAAGGTAATTTATGTATCATTAATTAAAATATTTGACGTTAAAACATTGAAGTGGAGTTACGGGTATTTCCTATTATATGGATTATTTTATAATATTTTTAGATAATTATGTTTATACATAATTATTATGTTTTATTATTGAGAAAAATATTTTTGTTTGTTAACAGAGCAATGGACAGATTCAAAGACAGAACTAAAAAGATTATGGACATGTTACCAGATGGAAATAAAATTATTTTGGATACTAGCAGCAAAATGAGAATTGACCAAAATGAAGACTTTATTGCAAAAAATCCAGAAGACAATGAAAACATGGAAAATATAATTCACAAAGAAAATAAGGAAAATATTCAAGATAACAGACAAGAACAACGAATAAGCGGAGAAAAGCAAGTCCAAATTGCAGCCGCAAATCCAGATGTTCCGGACGAATTAGAACAAATACCTCAAATAAATGAAATTTCTGTGTACCATGAAGACAAAAATAGTAATGAACGTAATTTAACAACCTTGCAAAATGTACTACCTACTAACATTATAGGTAGTGAGTTGGTAATAATGAATATTCCAGAAGTAACAGACATGGTGAATACTGATGAAATTTTTCCTGAAAATTATTTAGAAAAAAATGATAATGTACTCTCCAGTTGCATTCCATTAAACGAAACTAATGCCTTGGAGTTAGAAAATAACATTCTTAGCTCATCTGATATAGTTGAGAAAATAAAGTTACAAACGTCCACAATGAAGAAATTCGACAAAGCAGTGACATTGAACGTGAGGTAAATGATCTCGATTATGTGCCCGAAAATGATGAAGAATCAACGATTGATTTCGAAAACAGTTTAGGCAATGAAAGAGAAATAAAACAAGATGCTATCCAAGATGAACATAATCTTATAAAAAGAAAGAGAAGGAAAAGACAATTTGTGAATGAAGGAACATGGAATGAAAATAAGAAGAAATTGAAACGTGAAAAGGGGGAAATTTATTTAGGAAAAAGAAAGATCAATGGCCAGTGGAATTATAATACAGAAAGAGAAGAAAGAAAATTAAAAAAGCCATGTAACTGTAAACTTTCAAAAAAAATACTGCCATAAAGTGTAATATATTTTCCGAAGAGGAAAGAAAAATCATATTTACAAAATTTTGGTCCAATATGAATTGGAGTCAAAGGAAAATGTATGTATCGTTCTTAGTAAAATCAAATGACGTAAAAAGACATAAAAACAGGCGAAATGAAACAACATCTAGAAGAAAAGAATCTATGGTTTATCACATGAAGAAGCAAGAAGAACTTATCAGAGTTTGTAGACAGATGTTTTTAAACACACATGGCCTTAAGGAAAACATGGTATTGAACTGGTTGAAAAAAGATTTATCTGATACAATAGATTCTGAAGAACATAGTTCGGAAGAGAAGATTACTCATCCAAAGTGTTACAAAGATTTGAAACTAAGTCTAACAATATTTTTTTCAGAACTGTCGAAGGTCGAGTCACATTACTGCCGGTCTTCATCGGACAAACTATATTTAGAGCCTAATTGGAAACCCAAAGCCTCACTGTTTCAATTTTACAAACGCTGGTGCCAAGAAAAACAAATAGCCACTTCATCAATCGCTTCGTTTTGTCACGTTTTCGAGAAAATGAACCTTTCTCTCTTTCGCCCTAAAAAGGATGAGTGCGACAAATGTGTGGCATATCGAAATGGCAATTTACCTGACGACGTGTTCAATTTGCATCAAGAAAAAAAAATAGAAGCCAGAGATGAAAAAAACCAGGATAAGGAGTCCGCACATAGAGTTTTTTGTATTGATCTACAGTCAGTATTGCCATCACCTAAAACAAACATCTCGTCCCAATATTTCGAAACATAACTTAACATTTTTTGATATGAAAACTAAAGATGGTTATTGTTACTTATGGCATGAGGCCTCTTGTGGTACTAGTGCAATAATTTGCAGCTTCTTGAAAGATCATATCGAGAGAGATATTGAGGCTGAACAAAAAATTATAATGTACAGTGATGGATGTACATCACAGAATAGGAATTCGACATTGGCCAATGCCCTTCTTAATCTATGCATGGATTCAAAAATGACGATCGAGCAGAAATTTCTGGAAAAGGGGCATACCCAGATGGAGGCAGACTCTATGCACTCTACTATAGAAAGAAAACTTTGTCATACCAATATTAACGTACCTGCCGACTATGTTGAAATTTGTAGAAATGCACGTAAAAATCCAAGATCCTACACAGTTCATTACCTAGACCATGGATTTTTTAAAGATTTCAGCAATCTTCTGTTTGTAAAATAATTGCGTCCAGGTAAACGAGTCGGTGATCCGCATGTCACAGATATACGTGCTTTGAAGTATTCACCAGATGGAACAATGGCTTACAAATTGAAGCATTCTGAAGATTATCAAGAACTCGTTTTCAGCCGCATTTCAAAAAATAAAAGACAAGAGTTATGCTGTCCATTTGGTGAACTTCCTACCTTATATGATAATCCTTTACCGATTAAGAGGGAAAAGTTTTTACACCTACAATCTCTAGCATTCCATTGGATTATCACTCGTTTTATGACAACTTGTCTTACCAATAGATTTTTATTGTTTATTTTGAATAATTTAAATTTTTTTACAATGTTTGTGAGTTTCCTACTTTGTTCGTTAATGGTATAAATAAACCAAAGTATGTATAATTTTCCTATTTATTTACCCATCTCCCTCAGTAATAAAATCCCGTAAGTTCAAAAAATATTTAAGAAAAAGGGGAAAAAGTCCAATTTATTAGAGAACATAATTAGCTAACTCATTAAAAATTATCTAAAAATTACAGACTTTTGATATCTTGATAAACCTGCAACTTGTTTTTTTTTTTTGTAAATCAAGTATAACACGTATTTTGTCTCCCTTGTAAAATTTGGATTTTCGGACTTACTGGTTTAGCAGATTAAACCCACGATATGCTTTAGTATTAAAAGATTTTTAAACATAGATACCAATGTGACATTGAAAAACAAGTCTGATCTTTTTTATATTATCTCCTTTTTTCTCTTAAAATAGCACGACGCTGACCTAATTCAAATGTCAACTATGTCAATACAATCGCATTAATGAAAAGCGGGACACACTGTATAGCGCTAAAGATGTAAATTTTAAAGTTAGTGCGAGAGTTAACAATTTCTTTTGGAAAAATAACACCAGCAAAAACCTTCTTTTTCCATTTCAAACTATTTTTACGAATAAATTGTGGTTTTAAGCTTATTTGATATGTATGTAGCTAAAAAAGCTAATATGGAAATATTTTAATTTTTTGCTCTAGATTAAAAAAGAATTAACTATATGGATATTCTGCGAAAAATGTATTAATTATATTATCTACTTGCGCCGTTTGCCTTACACTAATATTATTAATATATTTTTAATTATCTACTTTATTTACTATAAGAAAATCAATCTGTATAAAGAAAAGTGTTTTAAAGAATATAGAAGTCGCGTAAAAAATCCTTGTAAAAACTTAATAATTTAATGAATGATTATTTTTAATGTCAATTTTTTACGCGAACCACTTACACAATCGTTATGTTTATATAGGTAAGAGAGTTGATACGTAATTTTGGATAATTAAATTGGAAAAATCGTTTATTTTCAATGTTTAGCTTATATTTTTGAATAAATTTACTGTCTTGTGAAGTAAATTCTGGAATTTTGACAGATAAAATTAAAATTGACAGCTGTCATCAGTCAAATAGACAATCTGTCATCATGTGCGTTAATCATTAGAGAGTTATCGTCAAAGTATTGATCAAATACGGTATCCTTATTTTGACAGCTAAGTATGCGCATTAAAATTTTAGTAAGAAATAGTGCTAAACAGGTATTTCCTTATTTTTGGAAAATAAGGAAACCTTATAATTGAAATACGGTCACTTACTCATATTTGAACGAGGCTATTCCGCAAATGTCATTCGGATTATCAAATAGATTTTATTCGGAGATATTTTTTATTTTCAAGCCGGTATTTAAATTTTAAAAGTATGAATATGAATAATAAAATTAGTTAAAATTTATATCGAAAAATAATTTAGTACTAATGAGAGAAGTGTTGACTCAAGAATTCGTTTAAAGATTCTAATCGATGGGAAATAAAAAATAATGTAAACAAGAAGAAGGAAAATATGTTTCCCTTGTGAGAAACCATCAATATTTTATTATTGCAATGGTTAAGATAAGCAACGATAATAGTATCCCATCTAAGAACAATAATTTTGACAAGATATTCGATTATTTAATTGATTTTGCAACTCATGCAACTTTCACAAAATACTCTTAAATTCAAATATACTTTAAACTGCTTAAATCAAACGTCTAATGGATTCAGCTCAGCCATCAGTGTTACCGTATGGAATGACATTTAGGATAACACTAATTTTTGTTTGGACCTTAGTCTGAATACGGTTACCGAATAAGATTACCGTATTCTTAAAGTGACGAGTGGTGATAACTCTCTAATGATAAAATTCGATATAAGAAAATTAACCCTTTAAAGTCTTAGTTTCTGAGATGCAGGGTAATGAAATTTACAAACAAAATATAAAAATAACATTTAATTCAAAATTTCACGACCCCCTATCTCAGAAATTAAGACTTTAAAGAGTTCATGTTTCCACATAAAATTTTATTAGCTGCAGAACGTTGTCATTCGAACATCGCAACACCTTGTATATTAAAGACCGTTTTGGGATGACGTCACAACGAATCGGCCATATTGACTGAGAGACACAGAAACTTTGTTTGCCATTGTAAACAACATTAAGAAAACTTCTTTAAATTAATAAAGAAAACTTCCTTTTTTGCTGTAGAAGGTTGTATAAATAGGGTAAACTTTTTTTTAGAATCCCTTCATAAGCATTTCATGTCTCTTAGTCAATGTCAAAACCACGTGATCTGAAATTATCTGAACATGATATTCCAAAAAAGTTTCAGAATATATTTTCCAAAGAATTATCATTTTTTTCCAGGGTTCGTCTGACTTAACACAAAATAACTGTCATACTCTTACACCTATATCGTACATATATGAAACTAGTTCTCATGTTAGTTAAAAAGTCTTACTATTATTTTTACATACAGATATTGCATTTGTGTGGTACCGGTAAATATATTGTGATTAATACTATTATTGTGATGCGCAGTGATTTAAGTCTCCATTTCTCAGTGAAAATCGTTGACTAGATAAACAATTAGGATTATTATATTTATGGAAAGGATGGTTGAAAAGTTCTGTATCAAAAATATGCAGACACCCAATTTGACTAACTTTTTTTTAATAAAAATCCTACGCCAATTTATGGTAGCCGTACTTGAAATACAAACGACGATATTGCACGCTTCTGAACAATAAAATTATACTGAAGTAATTTTATTCACAGTACTGAAGAATTTTATAAGACGTTTGACAGTTTTAGGTTAGATTTATTTTTTAACAGTGGTAATGCTATTAAAATTGTCTTTTTATTAGTATATTTTGCAGGTTTTAAGTATATTTAAGTAATATAAAATAGTAAGCTTGGTGTTTTGTAATTTTCCATTTTTACGCCAAACAGAAATTCTGATTTAGCTTGGTATTTTTATTTCTTTAAATACCTCTGCTTCTCTGTTTGAACGCTATTTTAACCATATTATGAGTTATCGTCCGTTTTTAAATGATAATTGATATAACTATCTTGTTTTTATCTTTTAAAGACAATATCCTGTTGGTCTACTTTCATAATTGTATAGAAAATGTTATACCTTGGGACAACAGTGCTAAATGCGTCATCTATTGACGTAGAACAAAAATTGTGAAACACGTTCTGAAGGGTGTGTGTTGTGAATTAGAATGGACTTTATGGAAAATTGAATTATGTAAGTGAAAAAAGTATCAACAAAAATCAGTCAAGATGCATAACATATACCTTGAGATAATTGTTTGCACGTTCCATTAGACAGTTCCAAGGTACACGCAAAACATGGAATCAATGTAACTATGATTTCCGGTATAAATGCTATAGAAACCACGTACAAACATCGCTAAGTTTTGCGAGAGTTTATTTTAAAGAACATATGTTGAAGGAACTCGAGACCCGATTGGAGCTGCCAGCTCAGGTTGGTCTAATAAAGAAAAATTCATTCAGGTCATCAAACTTGTAAAGTCATCCAAAGACAACCCAGTTTTCTAATCATGAGAGCCATATATTTATTCCCGTAACTTATCTCGCAAAGTCATATATGTTGTGTAACTCACATGTTCACCTCGCACATCGCACGAGTTCCTAACTTTGAATCGAATTGTGTTTGGTCCTTACAAAGCATTACAATCAAGCTGATAGCGAATAGATGCTGCAAAATCCAGGAAAACCAATTATCCTATACCAAATTGCATAAATTATTGGGAAAGCCTACCCGAAAGCGTTTACAGTATATAATTGCTATGTTTGAAAAGTACCTCCTGGAGCGGAGTAGAGCTAGTAGATTTTTTAGTCACGTGATCATCGAGCTTATGTGGAATAAAAGGACGGCTATGGATTTGTTTGGGTTTTCCGTTTTCGGTTTTCATCAAAATAACAAACTAAATAAAGTTAATTTTTAGCTGTGGTATTTTTCGCTTTTTGCTTTCACTAGAAAATAAACCATGTTCTCATTTCTGTCTCACATTTTTTATAAATATTTCTTTTTTAATAACCAAACACATGAAAAAGAATAAATTGCAACACAAGAGACAACGAAAAACGTCTGTACATCTCAGAAAAGTACATTTACTTTGTCAATTGTCACAGAAATTACATTTACTCCGAAAGCTCTAAAATTTAATTCGGAGTAAATAGATCTTACTCGACTTACCAGCTCTTCATTAAAAGACCACGGAGTAGATACCATCGAGAAGCCACAGATGTATTAAAAGAACGGCTTCAAGTAAAAAGAGCAAAACGAGGTAATTTTCAAACGCAGCATATGAAGTACAGTATATTATGAAGGGGTTTTCTGTAAAACAGACTTTTGCCCTTTAAATATGGAAAAATTTGGCAAATACGAATTTTTAAATGCCTTTTTTAACGGATCGATCGAGATAGACATTAAAAATGAAATTTTAGAATAGATTGAAATTTTTGACGAACCTGGATCTCCACATCAACCTCAAAGAATGCGCCAAAAAAGACCAAAAAAGGACAATCCAGAATATTGAGGGAAACCCCCAAAAAAATGAGAATTAAATGGAATATTTTAAAAGACATGCCAAAAATTTCAAGAACAAAGTTCAAAAAGTAACTAGAAAGATTTTGAAGAAAATTCCGACGATGACAATACCGAAATACCTGAGAAAGATTTTCGATGAAGACGACTATTTGGGAAAACTAGTTGAAGAAGTCTATAAATAGAACAGGGAAGAGATATAGAAAATTTCCCAATATTAGAAGGAGACTTTGTATTGATAAAATCGAAGGGCAAAAAGTTTGTAAGTCATTATACAGTACGTTAACCGACCCATCAATCAAAATAAAGATTTGTAATTGGATTAACCACGCCCTTTCATTGGCAAGCATGGACTATTTCGGTCCGCAGTCGGTGACGTATTATTATATTTCTGTCTACTCAATAGCATTGTGTTTCTATATCGTTCTTCTGGATTTAGGATTGGAAAGTTAACGAATTGTATAGTGGAAATAAAAAAGGTTTAAGAAGAACAATTTTGTGAAGAATGAAGAATTATACAAAATCAACAAATCGAACATTATGAGAACATTACCAAAACCCACAGTGGTTGTATGATCATTAAATATGTATATTTTTTATCTTATTTATTTGTTATCCCAACGTACAATTATTAGTGTTGTCTCAAGGTACAATTAGAGCTGTCCCAAGGTACAAAACTCGGTTTTATCTTGGAACAATTTGAAAGTAAACATTTTCTTTTAGTTATCAATACGACATTAACGTTTTGCAAATTCAATTAAAAAAAATGGAAATATGTTTCCAAAGTACAACACTTTTCCTTAATTATGCATTTCGATTAACTAATATTTATTACAACTGCTCCGTTGTCACTTGATAAAATCGATAAAATCTAAAACTGATTTATTCTAATTCAAAAAGCAAACTTTAAATTTCTTAATATAAACTCATGGCAACTCTAGTTGAGAATTAATTATAATTATATTGGTTTTTATCTTATTTAACCACGTAACTAGATTAATTTCTAACATTATTCAATAGCAGCTGATTGCTTGAACATTAACCAAAATTCATGAATCTGAAAAACATATTTTGAAATATTATCAAGCTCTGTCAAAGTTTATCAAACTCATAAATTTTAATTACCATTCTTACAACTGGCTGCTAGTGTTCTACATTTTGTTTTCGTTGTCCTATAACTGAAATGTAGCTCTTATTAGCCCGCATTGTCTTTTATGCTGTCGAACTTTTGATATGGTGCCTAAGCAATACAAAATGGAGTATTAATTATTATAAAATGCATATAAATAAATCCAACCTAAAATACTGACGAACACCTTTCGTGAAATAAAATCAAGTTAAAAATGAATGTATTAATTATTACTGTACTGCTACCAAGAAAAGGCTTTGGAACAGCCTTCTTTCTGATAGGGGGTTTTTGTTTTTAAGTTCGAATGTAAAACATCCAAAAAAGCGTGAATTGATTTTGTGAACACATTCGGTACTAGAGTTTCAAAAAAAATAAATGCAAAAAAGATTCAGAAGCGTTTTTAAAATTTTTGAATTAAATTATGTGAACTTATAAATTAATTGTAAAATTGTCAAAACCATAAAAGATTCTTTAATAAATATATTTCAACAAAATTTTGAAGAATCGTTATATTTTTCTCCACTGTAAGAGTCAAATCAACAAAAATGTTACTTGTTAACTGTCAAAAATCGAAATTACAAATTTACTAATTGAGTCACAATTGAAAACCTTCCGGGTTGAGATCGTCTAAAAAACGCTTCTGATTAAAAATCGCGACTTTAAACCCCTTTTCGTCATAAGCTTTAAAAAAACCTTCTGTAAAATTACCTAATCTAATAAGTATCAAAATCCTTCCATTTCAATAATCTGATTTTACTTAATCATAGCCTACTTCCACAATTTTTCTACATAAAAAAAACAACATCGCTCCGACATTTGACGCGTTTTGACAGTTCTCTTCACCAAACGTGATATACATCTGTCATATGTCTAATCAATTTCTACATCAGAAAAGTGTCAAATACCTTCAATTTCGAGATAAAAGAAAATTGTTCTAAATACGACAATCAGAAACAATTCTCAATATTTAACTATTTTACATTACTGTACATTTTCATCAACACTACTGACGTTTGACGCGGTTTGACAGCTCTTTGAACTACTTTCTGTACAATTAATGTCTGTTAAATAGCCTCAAACGTCAGTAAGCCGATTCTATACGTTCGTATTATCCTGTGTGTCGGGGATATTTTGTTCAACATATTCATCGTCTTCTTCCGATTCTCTCTTGCTACCTACCCCTAACCTGCTTAGCAGATTGGAACTGCTGCCTCTACCTTGTCCCAGGAGGGGTTCCTTGGGACAGCACACTTCCAGAGGAATATTGTCTGGGTCAATTCTGTCGTCGAAGATGGTGCTGGCTGTTTGAAAAGTTGACCCATTGGTTGATTTGCTAGGTGAGACCTTCAATAAAGCAGTCTGATGTAAGAATAAAATGGTTGACGATTTAAAGAAGACGATTTATCTATAGTTAATGTTAAATTGAGAAGTCAGTTTAGGCAAGATATAGCAGTGCATCTTAAATCGACGATATGATTAGGGCTGGGCGATTATCAAACTAAATAATCGATTATCGATTTTTTAAAATCGACTAATCGAAAATAATCGAAATGATCGATTAATCGAAATAATCGATTAATCGAAATAATCGAAATAATCAAATTAATAGAGCAATCGAAATAATCAATTATTCAAAAATAATCGATTATTTTGCCCATCCCTAAGGATGACACATCATTGAAAAGGTAATTTGATGAAGAATTCGGCTATAATACTATTCGTCGAGTTAATTTTGATTTTAGCGCCTTCTAGCTTGATAAAAAAACTGTTATGTATTGTAAAGTATTGTAAAGCTAATTTTATTGCTAATTCAATGCACCACAATGACTAATTTTCAGACTTTAGCAAGAGCTATATGAAAAATATTTAGATTTTAAATATTTAGATGTGGAGATGTGGTGCATTGAATTAGTAATAAAATTAGCTTTTTACAATAAATAACAGTTTTTTATTAAGCTAGAGAGCGCCAAAATCAAAAGTAACGCAATGAATAGTCTCATTGCCGAATTCTCCATCAAATTACCTTTTCAATGATGTGTCATCTTGGGTACTTTTCATTGAATATTGCCAAATAACAGGGTAGACTGTTTTTAAAAGCCAACTCTGTATAATCAATTATTGCGATCAAGGTAATACAGTGTGAGCCAAAAAGGAACATTTTTTTCTCAGAAATTTTATTCCTGATAAAAGTATCTGTAAAAAAAAATGAAATTGAGATGTCCAGTTTTGGATTACATAAACAGGACCATAAAAAATACAAGTGATAAAATATATTTTTCGAAATATCAATATCAGATTTAAAGAGTGGTAATAAACAAATATTATTATTTATGTTGATAATTGATTAGGCAACAATTTAAAAAAAAATCAACCTTTTGAATAAGCGATTTTTTTGGATGTCGATTATTCGAATGATAAAATTCAAATTTCATTTATTCGATTAATCGAAACTCATCGATTATGGTTTTAAAAAAAATCGACTATTTTGCCCACTCCTAGATATGATGTCAACGTTGCCAAAGTGAATGCAGGATCGCCTTAAAAACTAATAGAGAAATAATTTAAATGTAGGATGCAAATATGGCTTCATATCCTAACGAATAATAATAAATGATTTTACACATTCTTTGAAAAAATTTGTGTCCATGGGGGATTCAAAATCTTATATTTAGTCGGATATTTTATGTCTCAATGATTAAAGTAGACAGAAACGTTTTCAGTTTTTCATTATATATATTTTTTTTCACTTTGGGGGTTCAAAAATAATTTTCAATATTTCTTAGGGGTAAGTCTGTGATTAAGTTTTCTTTTCCTTGAAAAGGCTACTAGTGTTGTTTTTGCAGGGTTTATACTAAGTCCCACTTCACGGCACCATCTTTAGGTATGTTCTAGTCCTCGTTGGACTATATCACACAGGATATTTCTAAACTTGCCTCTAGCAAATATGACTATGTAGTCGACATAACCTTGACAGGGTATGCCGAAGTCAGTCATCTGCATAGAAGTTCGTCTACGGTTAGGCTCCACATTAATGGGGATAGAACTTCTCCTTGTGGACATCCTCTGGTTGTGCAGATGGAGATGGTGTTCTGCCCTATCTGTGTCTCTGCTGTTCTCGTAGATAACAGCTGAGCCATCCATCTGGATGTGATCTTATCTACTCCTCTATATGCAAGTGCTCTCTTTACAGATTCGTGTGGCGTGTTTTCAAAAGCTCTCCTTCTATGTCTAGGATGGCTCACACGACCGTTTCTTTGTTTATCAGTGCATTCTGGATTACGTCAGTCAAATGTACCAGGGCAGTTTCTGTAGATCTTCCTGCTCGGTACGCGTGTTGGCTGTGGTGGAGTGGCACCCTCTCCATGACTTCCATTCTGATAGAATTATCAACAATCTTCTCCATTGTTTTTAATACAAAGGATGTGAGGCCGATTGGTCGGAAGGATTTAGGATTCGTGGTATCCTTTTTCCCTACTTTTTGAATAAAGGTGACTCTGGCCCTTCTCCATGCTTCTGGTATATATCCCAGCTCCAGACTGCTCCGGGATAGCCGGGTTGTGTGTGGTAATAATTCCTCCTGTGCCTGCTGAAGCAGGGCAGGAAATATTCCATCCACACCTGGAGACTTAAAAGGTAATACCTTTGTTTTCATATCTATAACCAATATGTTTCCAGAACTTTAAAACCGATTGGTCACTGTACAGGGTGAATTCTAAGCTAATACTTTTTTAATTGTGTATAGAAGTCGTTAAAATAACTTTTTTGAAAAAAAAAAAAAACAAAATTAAGAAAGAAAAAAGTAGTCGATGAAAGCTCTTTACGTTGTTTTAAAATTTTGATATAACTATCTTTCAATAAAAATCTTTGTAAATTGTTTTTTCTTGAAAATAAAACGAAAAACGCCAATTTCGATTTTGCTCAAATAACTCGGAAACCGGACCTGTTATTTTGATTTAAAAAGAATTCGTTTTAAAAATGAGCACTTTTTTTCCTATTTAAACGATATTCCTATAATGTTTAATTAAAATTCATCCCTGAATGAAACCAAAAAAGGCGATTTACGTAACTACACAAAGCGAGTCGGTAAAAAATACATTTGGGAAATTATTGGTTTTTGAAAAAATTTCAAAAACAGGACAATTTTTTTTTTAATTCTACACTTTTTGACATAATATTCAGACACAGGGTGATGCGTGTAATTTTTTTTTTAAATCAATATCTACTTTTGACTCACACTGCATAAAAAGTACTTGCATACTATGCATATTATAGAAAATAAATGTATTTTAAGCTAAGAATCAATGAAAATTTACTTACTTTTAAGTTTAAGTTTTTGCTGGTCATTTCGAGTTCATCACTGTCCCCCATTTGGACTGATAATATGGGGACGTCTAAGCAGGGAGTGACCAGTCTTGGATTATTTGCGAGGAATTCTACGATTTGAGAGGCGGTAGGACGCTCTTTGGATTCACGTTTCCAGCAGGAGCACATCAAACCAACGCTACAGAATATTTTAAAGATGAATTGTCAAAGAAAATTTAAAATTTGAAAAGTAATTTTTTTTTGTTTTAAGTCCGACAAAAATAATGTATACATACTATGTATATACATGTACGGAAAATACAATACAATACTGAAAATATACATAAAAATACAGGCAGATACTGCTATGGCTCGGTGGTTCCTAGTGCGCACATAAATTTGATGCGAGGTTGAACCACTTCCAAAATTCTCTCTAAATTACCGAAATCGCACTTTAAAATCAATCCTTTTCGTGCCAAAATCAACATATGGTGAATGTTCGCAGCACATTCGGTGTTTGATGACAGCATTATTCTTTCTCACGTGGTGCATATCACGCAGTGAAATTACATTTAGTTGGAACTAGATACATATTCAATGTATGATCAAATTGATTAAGTACATAAAAATTAACAACAAGGAGAAATGCTTCTACAAAGTCGACATTAGGTTGGTTGTTTACTGAACATATCTTGGTCAACTCTCATTTAAAGTTACCAAATAAATTTAGTACCAATGACGGCCAATTTATACAAAAGTGTTTTAAATATTTTATTCGAAACATTCTTTCATATCTTTTCCTTAAATTACTCCATTACGGTCCAATTTAGAGAAATAATGCATAGGACAAAAATGATATATATAACAGTTCTAGAAATATAACTTAAATTAGAAAACAAGCATAATAATTATAAGCAAAGAAAAGCAGCAGACGATCTAACACCGCTATTAGTCCGTACGATAATTAGTTAAAGGAGTAGTTATTATTTTATGAACACAAGGCTTCAAAAATTTCTTGTTTCTTTAAGTTTCAATTTGCTGTAAATTATATGATCATGGGTGATTCCGGCGGAATAATTGGAATTGTAAAAATAAATAGAAAATTTCGACAAAATCGCCGAAATCATACGAACTTTGTTTATATTGTTTCCTTTGTCATGTATATAATGTAAAAAATGCGATCAGAAACGGTAGTTTGGCAATTTTTTAATAATTTGAACCCAAAATTTCGGAAGTGGTAAAAAATTTCAAAAATTTCCAATATTAGGATAACATTATTAAATTTTTCTGACCGCCTATTTTGGATTCCATTTAGTCCGAAATAATGATAAAATGTTACCGTCAGACAAATTCAGTTTATTTAACCCCCCGACGCCCCTCCCAAGAGGTTAAAAATTAAAACTGACTCTGTTAAATAATATTAATAAAAATGAATGTATAAATCAATTTAAATTTAAAATATTACTAATAGTAATAATTATGATTTAGCAAGTTGTGAATCTCCAGAAATATTTAATTTTGGAGCGAGGACGACTAAGAACATATGCTTGTTTGTGGACAATAAGCACTGCATGATGATGGCACCATGCCGAAAGCGCTTTGCATTTATTAATTAAAAAGTTTTGCACGAAATACAAGACTTTCCTTTTGAAAAAGAAACGACTTCAAATTTTCAAATACATTATTTTTCTATTTACGAGGGTGGTTTGACTGAAGAGTGACTTTTCAGAGGTTGGCAACACTTTCGCTACGGTGATTATATTGGTAGTTTTCGCACATACTTTGATTTTCTTTTACTATACGGAGAATGGTCGCACTGCGCAGCTTTCTGAGTGCCTTTTAAAAGGAGATAGAAAACTCCGCCATTTTGAACCCTTATTACGTGTTGCCTACATCTTGGCGCAATATTTTTAATATGTGCGTTTTAATCATCCGCTTCTGCTTCGGAATTGTCGGTTTTCTTGTTTTAATCTGACAGGTTAAAACGACTAAACCGACAATTCCGGAAGCAGAAGCGGATGATTAAAACGCACCTAATATTTTGCTTGCTGCTGTCAGTGAATATTATTTTTGAAGTCACAGTTTATTGCTAAAGAATCACTCGGACCAGTTGAAAGTTCCAAAATAACATCCACTCCAGGGATACAAATTCAGGATACGCAGAAGACTGCTGTTTTATTATAGGCGGTTGTCATATATTGTATTATCCGAGTTGCACAGTGTATAAACTGAAACATTGAGATCAAAAGTGCCGACGCAGAGTGAGCGATCTGATTCTTTAGCTGTAAACTGTGTCACAGGGTTCAAAATGGCCGCGCCTTAGTATGTGAGTTTTCGCCATGTTTGTGATGTCATCTGTCAAAATTTTATGTAAATGTGACAGATAGAGTAGTTTTAATAACTAGCGTCTATTTCTTGTGCTCTACAAATGAACCTGCTTCTGTGGCGCCATCTAGTGAAGTAAGGTGAAGTGATAACGACAGCTGTTCAGTTCGTTCGTGCTTGTTAATTTGTTATGTGTATATCTAGTCTTCATAGTTATGTGTTCTGTCAAATTTGGAAAATATAATTGCAACGTTGCCGGATTGTGATAAAATTAGTAGTTAATGGAAAATTGTGATTACCCATACCGGTCCATAAATATGCAACAAGAAAACGAAGCAACGACTTCGTAGGGTGGCACCACCAAAAAACATCAACCCATACCCGGCTACGCCGACCGGCATAGACTCCAACGGCCTGGACACAGCTCAAATTGAATAATTGAAATGAAAAGTTTCAAATAAACACATTTATATTCTGGTTTTATCATCTGGCCTGGAGCTATTAAAAAAACAGCCGCTGTCATTCCTGTTATGTACGTTCTTTTACTATGTTTGACAATTCCACATTTATAGAAATAAAAATACCAGTTGTCATATTATTCATAAACAAAAAATAATATAGAACGGTATTACCATGATTATATTTATTTAGAACAAATAACAAAAAGCAATTGGCAACATCGCTAAAATTATTGAAACGGCCACTTTTGCGCGCGCTAAATCATTTGAAGGCACATACTTTGATTACTATACGGTGGAAGAGAGAGGTCCGACACGCCCAACATAGGGCGCGGCCATTTTGATTCCTATGCCACAGTTTATAGCTAAAGAATCAGATCGCTCACTCTGCGTCGGCACTTTTGATCTCAATGTACCAGTTTATACACTGCGCAACTCGGATAATACAACATATGACAACCGCCTATAACAAAACAGCAGTCTTCTACGTATCCTGAATTTGTATCCCTGGAGTGGATGTTATTTTGGAACTTTCAACTGGTCCGAGTGAGCTAACTGATTCTTTAGCAATAAACTGTGACTTCAAAAATAATATTCACTGACACTGACAGCAGCAAGCAAAATATCAGGTGCGTTTTAATCATCCGCTTCTGCTTCCGGAATTGTCGGTTTAGTCGTTTTAACCTGTCAGATTAAAACAAGAAAACTGACAATTCCGAAGCAGAAACGGATGATTAAAACGCACCTATTAAAAATATTGCGCCAAGATGTAGGCAACACGTAATAAGGTATCAAAATGGCGGAGTTTTCTCTCCCTTTAAAAGGCACTCAGAAAGCTGCGCAGTGCGACCATTCTCCGTATAGTAAAATAAAATCAAAGTATGTGTTTGAAGGTCAATGCTGGGTTCATTTGTAGAGCACAAGAAATAGACGCTTCTGTTTTACTACTCATATAAAAAAAAGATTTTGTTCCATCACGACAATTCACCTGCCGATTCGTCCGACATTGTTGCAGAAAAATTAGCCGAACTGCGTTACGCATTATTGCCTCATCGGCCTTATTCACCTAATCTGGCTCCTTTAAAAAAGGCTTGATGGAAAGTGATTTTAGACAAATGAAAAGGTGATGTCAGAGGGAAGCGCGTATCTTGCGAAAGATTATTTTTAGGATGGTTTGAAAAAAATTGGAAACTCGCTAAGCTAAATATGTAGAAGTAAAAAGAGTTTATGTTGAAAAATAAAATATTTTTTTACACTAAAGTAACTTTTTCATTGAAAAGTCACTCTTCCGTCAAACCACCCTCGTATATTCTTACTACCAGTAATTGTTATAATAAACTTTCCTAATAAAACATGCTTCAAAGTTTTGATTTTTCCATTATTAGTAAAATTATTTAAATTTAGGCATTTCTTCATATCAACACATACTTCAATGAGGAGTAGATAACATCACATCCAGATGGATGGCTCAGCTGTTCTACGAGAACTGCAGAGACACAGATAGGGCAGGACACCATCTCCATCTGCACAACCAGAGGATGTCCACAAGGAGGAGTTCTATCTCCACTAATGTGGAGCCTAACCGTAGACGAACTTCTATGCAGATTGACTGACTTCGGCATACCCTGTCAAGGTTATGCCGACGACATAGTCATATTTGCTAGAGGTAAGTTTAAAAATATCCTGTGTGATATAGTCCAACGAGGACTAGAACAGACCAAAAGATGGTGCCGTGAAGTGGGACTTAGTATAAACCCTACAAAACAACACTTTTTAAGGAAAAGAAAACTTAATCTTAAAACCGTTAAATTAGACGGGATAGATATAGAATGGAAAAATGAAGTCAAATATCTAAGCCTAACCCTGGACAACAAACTTCTCTGGAACACACATGAGAAGGAAGTAGTAAATAAGGCCACAAATGGTATTCAGAAACATTGCAGGTAAACGATGGAGATGTAACTCAAACATACTACGATGGATGTATAGCAATAGTGAGACAAATCACCACTTACGGGGCTATAGCCTGGAGTAACAGAACTAGTTTAGCTACTACAAGAGCTAATATCTCAAAAGTACAAAGACTAGCCTGTGTTTGCATTACGGCCGCAATGGAGATGATCTTAAACCTCACCCCTCTACATTTGATGATAGAGAATGTGGCAAAAAGGACACGATATAGAATAATCAGGAACGGAGTAATCAGACGAAAGTCTACTTGTTTCAGGATTAAAGATACCTGGGACATGCCCCAGGATGAAATGCTAAAGAAGTACAGTTTTGTGAAAAACTTCAAAACCACAGAGCTGGACTGCAAGAAAGAATAAATCCAAGAATCAATCGCGCTTGCAACTGAAAGACGTGCTATTCAGTGGTATACGGACGGTTCCAAAAATATAGAAGGAACTGGAATATGGGTATATGGGCCGAGAACCAAGCACTCCGAAAGCTTGGGAAAATACCCAAGCATCTTCCAGGCGGAAATTCACGCCATCGAGAAGTGTATCCAGTTTAACATCGAGAGAAACTATCATAGACAAGAGATTATCATCATGTCCGATAGTCAAGCAGCTATCAAAGCGCTGAGCTCTTACGTAATCAGCTCAAAAATGGTTTGGAGATGCCTAGAACAATTAAATGAGATAGGCGAGAAAAATAGAGTTACTCTCACTTGGGTCCCGGGACATAACGGGGTACAGGGTAATGAGATTGCAGATAGTCTTGCAAGGAAAGGGGCTCAAACACCCTTTGTAGGACTCGAGCCGTTTTGCGGTATCAGCAGTAACATAATATTAGGAGAGATTAAAAAAAAAAAATTGGCAGTAGAAGAACCGATAATTGGAACAACCTCTTGGGGCTGAAACAGGCCAAGATACTTCTGGGTGAATATAACCAGAAAAGATCGGAAGCCTGCATCTGCCTGAGCAAGAACAGGCTACGTATTGTAACAGGGATCCTTACCGGGCATTGCCGACTAAAAGGACACCTAAGTAAACTGAGAGTACCAAAGGATAGTGAATGCAGATTTTGTGAGGAGGAGGACGAAACCTCTATTCACATCCTAACTGAATGTGTAGCACTCCAGAATCCAAGGGCACTATATCTAGGAGGATATCAAATAGAAGAGGGAGATTTACCTAACTTGAAGCCACTTCAAATCCTACACTTCCTTGAGAAAATAGGATTGGAAGGGTCGTTATAGGCATTGAGACATTTCCTTAGTACATTGGCGACAGAAGGGGGCACAATAGATCTTCTAGGTCGCAGTGTATTAACACCCCATTCATAACATAACATACTTCAATGAAAAACTTAGGCCTTTTTTTTCTTTTTTTTTCTTTTGGTGTCATCGGCATCAACTACTAAGGTTATTAGCCTAGTGTTATGTGTAGGCTTTGTTACTGTTTCCCAGCGCTACTTTAGGAACAGCACTGTTAATTAGAACCTAACAGTGAATGGTCGACTGGGGAATCCTACCAAGCCATTCGAATTAATTTTAAATAATTAAATTAAATGAAAAAATCCCGGCCAACGGTGGGAGACGAACCCGGGACCCTTGGATCCACCGGCAGAAACTCAACCTCTGAGCCACCCACCCCCACATATAGGTCTTAAAAGTAAAAATAATATTTCTTTATGTATGTTTTTTTTTTCTTTCAGAAATAGACAGCTTTGAGAGAGCATTAATGGAAAATGAACATTTTAGTGATCCCAATATGTATGATGAAGAACTAAACATTGACTACCAACATCTAATGGATGATATAGATAACGACCTTAATGTATAAATTAAATAACATTCAAAATAAATAAACAGGCGAATCTTGTAAAAAACAACCCTTAACCCGATTCTAGGAGTGAAAACGGTATTTTATACAATTTTTACCCCTTTTATACAGAGATAGAGTGAATTTACACTGATAAAAGTAAACGTTTGTAAATGTTAACGGATTGAGCACGAAAATACTAAATTTTGCCGGTTTCATATGAATTTAAAATTTCGCCCCTTTTTAACCCCATTTCCGAACTCTACAGAGGGTTGTAGGTAAGCATAAATATCAAATATAAAATACAATATATTCTGTAACGTTTTTAAACTTTTTGGGAGGGGCGTCGCGGGGGGTTAAATAAACTGAATCTGTCTGACGACAACATTTTATTTCGAACTAAATGGACCCCAAAATAGGCGGTCAGAAAAATTTAATAATTTTAACCTATTTTTGTCAATTTTTGAAATTTTTTGCCATATTTTCGAAATATTGGGATCAAATTATTAAAAAAAAAATACAATTTCTGACCGAATTTTTTCCATGATATACATGACAAAAGAAATAATATAAACAAAGTTTGGACCGGTTACATCGAATGTTTTTTTTTATTTTTTAAAAAAATTCTCCGTTTGCGAACCAATGGAATTTGTCTGACGACGATGGTTCGTCTATTATTTATATCAGCTGTACTCAACCTTTTTTTCTTTAGGGCCACATAAATCTGTTTGTTATGCTGCACGGGCCACATAAATCTGGTTGTTATGCTACAAGGCCACAATATTTTTGGATTATAACTAGAGTTTCCACCTTTTTGAAATGTAAATAAAGACAATGGGTGACGATAGGGATCCGTTTTAAGTTATGTTATTTTAGTTGTTTTAATAAGCTTTGAAAAGTCGCAAAGACAATTTATTTCAAAAAAGGACTGTATATCAACCATTTAAATTTCTAATAATAGTGTTTGGGCCTGAACAAAACAGCCTGGAGGGCCGCACAAAAAAGCTTGGAGGGCCGCATGCGGCCCGCGGGCCGTAGGTTGAGTATGGCTGATTTAGATACATATACTAATGATTACCATTAACTCCAGGCGGTTAACACGAAATTTTTTATTCAATTTCCCACCCTCCTCCTCCCCTAGCTCCTGAACAACTGGCCCGCCACGCTATAGTATAGAAGAAAAAATCTTCAAATTTACTGTATAGCGCAAATACCACGAGTCAGACGGTTAACACGACTTTTTTTATAGAGTATACGTAGTGAGGCGAGTAGAAGTCGTATTAATGCGTGCTGACAGTGATCTCTCTCTATTATGTGCATATTCCTATTAAACTTATACAACTCATTGTAAGGTATACTCTCCGTGTTGAAAATTCCATAACTGTATATGCTTTTATTTCAATTTAAGTACTGTACTTACAGTTGTGGTTTGGTTCCCTTTGGAATTGGTAGGGTTTGTCCCGCTTTGACCTCCATCAGTACTTCGGGATTCGTTTTGCCTTGAAATGGAAAGTTTCCAAAAGTGATGATTTCATAAAGTAACACTCCGAAACTCCAAACATCTGAAGATGGGGTGAAAACTCCCAAAGCCAAACTCTCAGGAGCCATCCATCTCACAGGCAATCTCGCCCTCCTATTAAATAGAAACGATTAAGACAAAAAGTAAAATAATAATAAATATATAAATCCATTATTGTCCAACAGAGAATCTCCATTTACAAGACAATATAGATTAGAATACATACATGTTAGTATAATACAGTTACACATTAAAGATATAGACATAATACCATACAGTTAGCAAACACTATTTAACATATTAAAGTTACAAAAAAAATATATGTATATAAGGGAAAAAAACATAAGAAGAAATCATGAACATTATTCCGTTCACATTACATTATATTACAGCAACAACTAGAATATCAGAAAATTATACAAAAAATCAAAGTTGAAGAGTTATTGTAAAAGTAAATTTAAATAAAATTATTGACTGAATTTATCTAAAATTAGTGTTAGTGAATCATAGTTAATATCGCATAAGTTTGCCACATGATTAAAGTTGTTGCACATTCTATGAAGTGGGGAGTTAGAAAGAATATTAGTTCTCGCATTGTCTGAGTAAAACGTAGTAATACTTCTAGATTTTATTCTAGGAACGTGAAAATCCACTTGATAAAGAAGATTTGAGGAATCGAATTTATAAAGAAACGTCAGCCCTACATGTATTCTTCTTAGTTGAAAGAAATGGACATTGAAACGATGTACCAAAATAGATTGGTCAATACCTCTTGCAGGATAAATTCCATCAAGCCTGCTAGATAAGAATTTAAGAAACTTGCGTTGAACATTTTCCAATGAATTTATATGCACTTGATAATGCGGATCCCAAACAATCGACGCTTATTCAAGTTTTATTTATTTATAATACAATACTCTACAGGTCATAAACCCAACTACAGAGCAGGAATTGACAGAATATAATTATTAATAAATCACAATTTTTTATATGAATGTTAAGCACATAAAAAGAACTTGTATTTCGTAATAGGTAACAAATTAACTAAGATAAAAAGTGGGATTTTATATCTGACAAATTGCAACTAAATATATCAAGTTCATTGACAATAGAATTTGTTAACGTACACATGGTATGGAGCGGAGAATTTTCCAGAACATTTGTGCGAAATGTATTTATATAAAAAGTATTCGGGTGTCTGGAAGAAATTTTGGGAATGCAAATATTAAACTTTTCTAATAAGGTTGGGCAGTCAATAATACTTTTAATAATTTTATAAGTTACTACTACACTATAATAATCACGTCTTCTTTCGAGACTGAGGTGTACCTATTAGAGGATAAATGCCATCAGTTTTCAGGCTTAGCAGTTTTAAAAATCGTCTTTAAATTGCTTCTATTCGATCTATATGATACTGATAAAAGGGGCTCCACACAACTGAAGCATATTCTAACTTCGATATTATAAAAGCATAAAATAGAGTTTTTAAGGTAGAGGTTTCTTTGAAATCACTACTGCTACGTGAAATTAATCCATACATGCGATAGGAAGAGGATACAACATTATGAATATGCTTATTAAATAATAGTGCAGTGTCAAATGTGACGCTAAGATCAGTAAATGTTTTCGGTCGCTCAAGGGCAACATTTTGTATTGAATAATTAAAGATTAGGATATTCGTTTTTAAACTGTAGGACATAACTTTACATTTATCCGGGTTTAGTGACAAGTTATTTTGATAACACCATTCAACAATCCGTGTTAAGTTTGCTGAAAGGTTCTCGCAATCACATATCTTCTCTGCGAGGCAGTATAGTTTTAGATCATCAGCATACAAAAGGAAATTTACATTTATAACATCTGCAATATCATTAATGAACATAATAAAAAGGAGGGGTCCTAGATTCGATCTTTGTGGAACACCGAAAGAAGCACTATATTAAGCAGACCTAAAACCATTAAGCTGGACATATTGCTTTCGATCCCATAGATAGGATTAAAATAGTGAAATTAAAGAAGAAGATAATCCAAAAGCTACAAGTTTGTTGAGCAGAATGCCATGATCAAGTCTGTCGAAGGCCTTAGAAAAGTCTGTGTAAATAACATCAGTTTGGGCTCTGTTGTCAATAGATTCAGCAATATATTGGGTAACAGTCAGAAGGTTAGTGACTGTTGAACGACTTTTCATGAAACCATGTTGATTTATACTTATATTACAACTTACATGACGACATATAACTCGTTCTAGCAGGATTTCAAAAACCTTTGCAAAGTTGCATATAATAGAGATAGGTCGATAATTTGAAATATCTTGTCTATCTCCTTTCTTGAAAATGGGACAGACCTTTGAGGATTTCCAGATCTCTGGTATTGTAGCCGATTTTAAACAATTATTAACTAGTATGGAGAGAGGACGAGCTAGCACAGAAGAACAATCTTTTAGGACGAAAGCTGGAATATCGTCTGATCCGGTGGTCTTTTTTGGCTTAAGTGATCTTAGTGCCTCATATACTTCCTTTTCACTGAAGCTTGTAATATTTAAGAAGTGATTATTATTTGTCCCAGAATTGGGTTGAAAAGGGAAAGAAATAGTATAAGACTGTTTAAAAAGATTTGCAAAACCGTTTAAAATATTAGAAGGCCCCTCCAGCATTTGACCTTCAAAATTCAATACTTGTGATATTTTGGAACTACCTCGTTTATTATTTATAAATGCCCAAAATCTGATTGGGATATGTATTTCTTCCTCAGTTTTGCCTAAAAATTTCTTGTATGCAACATCAACATCATGCTTTATTTTCGCCCGAAGGTGTTTAAAATCCTCAAAGGCCTGTAAATTGCTTTCACACTTCTATTTGCGCCAACTTCTATTTGCGCCAACTTCTACTTTTAGCCTGTAAATCTTTAATAATGCGACCATTGTACCAAGGAGGATATCTATTTTTTGATTTAAGTGTATACTTGGGACAGCAACGATCGAAAGCATTATAAAGCTTGCCATAGAAATATTATGTGGATGCATCTTCTGAATTGTCAAAAGCTTCCAAGAAGGTCCAGACAATAAGAGATATTTGTTCATACATTTGTGGAAAGTTGGCTCTTTTGAAGTTATAACTGTTCTGAAAACAGCATTGCAATTTACATTTGAAGTTATCCTTTATCTCTAGTATACAAGTAATATCCAAAGCAGGATGATGTCGATTTTCGGTTACAAATGGATCCAGTGATTTCTCCACATGACATTTTTTATTAAAAAAAAACAGGTCGAGGAGTCTATTAAGGTTATTAAATACAAAATTATTTTGAGAAAGATCAAAAATTTGTGAAAAATTATTAAGAGTAGTGATTTCCCTATTAGTTGCACCAGAATCCAGATAGCATAGTCGCTAACATTAAAGTCTCCTACAACGAGAACTGTATTATTATGTAATATATGCAACAATGCCAGGGCCTCAAAAAGTTGTTCAAACGCAGTTAGTGGAGTTTGAGGAGGTATGTAAATATTTAACAAATAAATATATTTATATGAAAAGATTATTTTAACTACGATATCAATAAATTTAAGCTGAGGATAGTTAAAATAAGATAGTTTAATTTCTACGGAAACAAAGTCTTCATGTACCCCAATAAGCACACCTCCACCTCTCGTTAAAGAAGTTGTTCAAAATTACGATCCATCCTGTATATGTTAAAATTATCCGGAAATAATTCTAAATTGTTAATGGATGAGTCAAGCCAGGTCTCCGTTAACGCAAAAACACGATAGTTGCTTTGAATTACAGAATTTAGAATCTGGCTAGTTTTTGTCTTTAAACCTCGAGTATTTTGGTAAAAAATTGATAAGGTGTTCGTATCTTTAACGAGACCTGGCTTTGAATCTACGAGGGGAATATGACAATTTCCCTTCAATTGCTATTCAGAAATTAACATACTTTTTTTAAGGTTTCTGCATACGAAGCGCATTTATCTTTTTCCCAGACAGCGTGATTAATATCTACATCTTTGTTAGCTAGTTTCATGCAATTAGAGCATTTTTTAATAGATGATTTACACTGATTTAATTCATGGGCATCCCCGCAAATCGGACAAGTTTTGATCTTATGAGCGCAAAAAATAGCGTTTTTAGAGCAATTTCATTAGAAAAAGTTCTACAATTTCTTATAATAAATCCTAAGACTTTAGAAGACTGAGAAACTATATTATTAATATGTTCTACAAATTGCAAACTAGAATCAAATGTGACTACAAGATCTCACATCTGCGCAACCCTTGATAAAGATATGTTATTTATTTGATAATCATGCAAAACCAGATGGAGTTTGCGACCATATGTACAAGTTTCACATTTACCCAAATTTAGGAAGAGATTGTTACTTGTACACCAATCAGAGATTTTATTCAATTCTTCTTGTAGAAATAAACAGTGTAATAGAGAAGTCACATTTGAGTAAATTTTCAAATCATCAGCAAATAATAAATGTTTACACTCTAATGATGTGGAGAGATCATTGATAAATAATAAAAACAACAAGGGTCCCAAATTAGACCCTTGATTAATTATTAGTGATTAATCGACGTACCTGGTAAATTTATAGTAGTCATTGTCGAAAATGGCGCGCGTCATACCAAAATCACCGATTTTGACGGTACGCTTATCATTGACCAGACAATTTCTCGATGCTATGTCTCTATGAACAAATTTCATTTCGGCAAGATAGCTAAGTCCTCTGGCGACATCTAACGCTACGTTTGTCAATCGTTTTGGACTTATTTCTTCGGATTCGTCGATATCTAATAAAAAAATAGGTAAAACAAACCACTTTTGACCAAAGTCGAAATAAAATAAATCCAACCTTTTAATTTCACCAAATGTCTACGGGCCAATAAGTACGTCTTCAAATCTCCATACAACATGTACTCCATGACAGTATACACGGGTTCTTCCTTAGTGCACACTCCGAGCAACTTGACAATGTTCTTGTGATCGAAGCGTTTCATGACCTCAGCTTCTGACAAGAAATCGAGTTTGTCTTCGGTAGTCGATCCGACCTTGAGAGTCTTAACAGCCACTGGCGACCATCCTCCGGCTTCCAGCTCAACTTCACCACCATAGACCATACCGAACGCACCTTCGCCAAGTTTGCGGTTGATGACAATGGTTTCGCGTCTCATCTCCCATTTGTCTAGATCGCTGGCGTTGTGCATGTCGAACGGAATACCCAGGGATCTGAAAATAGGGAAATATAAATCTCACTTATCAAAATTAAATATCCGTATGTAATTGTAGTAAAGGGCTAGGTGAGTTCGAGCACAAAATCGACCATTTTCTCATGTAAATCAAGGTTACGCTCTGGCATTATTACCTGTCATCTGTCAACGTCAGCTATCAATGTAATTGGGAATGCCATCTAACAATGTCATCCAACAATGACATCCAATAATGTCATCCAAAAATGTCATGTCATCTAACAATGTCATATCATCTAACAGGGTCATCTAAATCTAGGTATGTGAGTAAATGTCAAAAATGTATATTGTGTTTGTTTGAAATTAACATATACAAAATATTCTAAGGTTCTACCAGTCAGTAAATAATCTAAAGTTTTTATCAGTTGTTATTTTGCATATGCGTCACAACCAGGTTAAAAAGTCAAAGCACACAGTTCGGTAGTGAAGCAAGAGTCCGTAAGAGCATCCACAGACTCCATACTCTCCAAGAAGACTTGGCCACAGACAATGGTGCATTCTACACCCCTCCGGATTATAACTACAGCATAGTATATTCAGACTTGTCCCCACTAGAGGATAAAATTCCAGAGAGCGGAATTACCTACCAAAGTGCGGAAAACTCGCCCCGTAATGATAATGTAATTAAAATCGATAAAGATGATAAAACTGTAAGTGAAGAGACTAACACAAAAGACAGGTTGAAATCAAAAAGTAAAGTCCGACAATTTGATGCGACACAAAAAAAATTTATCGCTGTGTGATTGTCAAAGTAGTGAACTTCGGGATAGATGCACAAACCCCGACGTCAAATGCAACCAACAACAATTGTGCAGTCAAATATAGACCAGCCAATCCTGTTAGTATAGCGTAAGAGGAAAAATGTGTTGCCATTATTAGAAGAATGCGAGAAAATCGCAAACAAAGAAGAAAACGACGTATTTCAAGTTTCTAAAAAAAAATTGATTCAGAGCATGAACCAGAGATGCGCCCCACAAAAAAGGGAAGGCCACGCCCAACTTAATAAACAAGGGTAAAATAACAAAAGTTCCCAAGCAAAACAGACTCCGCATACAATTGTTGTAGATGACAATCACCTGAGTTTAAAAAATTACATCAAAAAATAATTAATAGCAAATAATCAGTCATTCAGTGAAATATATGTGCTATGATAGTGCTGTTTTCAGAAAATGAGGAGGACTATATGTACTCACTTGAGTGCATCAAAGACGCGGATATACCTCACCATACTTACACAAGTAAATCGGACAAAACACACGCCTTTGTACTCAGAGGAATGGCGGAGGGAACAGACAAAAAATTAATCTAGGAGGACCTGATGACATCATACGAAATAAGAACCAACGAAATATACAAAATGGCCACGAAGCACTGTCCACTCTTTCTAGTAGTAACTGACTATTATGTATGCCTGAGCAAGAACAGGCTACGCGTTTTAACAATGATCCTTACCGGGCATTGCAGATTCAAAGGACACCTTAGTAATCCTCGAGTAGTAGAAGATAGTGAGTGCAGATTCTGTGAGGAGGACAAAACCTCCATTCACATTCTAACTGAATGTGTAGCACTCCAGAATCCAAGGGCACTATACCTAGGAGCATATCGAATAGAAGAGGGAGATTTATCTAACTTGAAGCTACGCCAAAGCCTACACTTCCTTGAGAACATAGGATTGGAAGGGTCTTTATGGGCACAATAGATCTTTTAGATCGCAGTGTATTAACACCCCATTCCCAACATAACTGGCTGTTATTACAATAGATTTTCTCAACAAAAAAGTTAGTACCACCTCCTACATCTAATGTGTGGAAATAAAAAGAGGATATCAAGTGTCCAAATCGAAGACTTCCTGTCAATGACAACGAGGAACTAGCCACTCACCCAAACCCAGAAAAAATCAGTACAGACAGGACAGCGCAGCTGCCATGGATGATATCTTCGCCTTGAATCGTGAACTTGTCGCATTAAAATCAATCGTAAACATAGCAAAACTCATCCGTGCAATAGATTACTTTAGGACAGTCACGACAAAACTAGACTCATACAACATCAGGAATTAATCAGACACTCATAGTTACATACAAAGTCAAATACTCTTCACAAACGACGTGAAACTTGAATACAAAAAAAACAATAACATCCTTCACAGTGACAAATAATTCACATGGGTGCTTTCAAGCTCTAGTCCGACGGACTGGGCGGTGAGTTGTCCGGCGGTGAACTAATTGGGAACTATTTACATTCTCGGCTGGAGCCCCAAAGGATGGCTCAGCGCTCACTTGTCCCATGAAGTATGACAATAACCAAAGACTACTGACTGGACCCCGACAGAAACTCATACACATAAGGACAAACCCGTCATTTCTAGATTTTTACAGAGGACAATAACTACAACAAAAGGTACAGTTACATCTGACATTTATTGCATGATATTTATGTCTGACAGTTGTTTATTCCAGTGTAAACACTCAAAAATATATGTCCGAGAGAAATTTTGTGTGTTTACACTGGACTAAATAACTGTCAGACATAAATATCATGCAATAAATGTCATACCTGACACGACAACCGAAATCCCCAATAAGGTCTAATAAGCGAGGAGTGTAGGCTGCTGTGTTTGGTTAAGCATAATATTAAACACTGAAACAATATATACGAAGATAATTGCCGTGGCCGCTGCGGGAAATGATACGGCCGGTTTCTTTGTTGTACATATATTATTAAAAAGGTGAATAAATGTTTAAGATGTTGACTTTTACTTATTTTGAACTTTAGAGATTTATAATTATGTAAAAATAATCGATGTTTTGCTCGAACTCTCATAGCTCCTTTATTAATAAATACTAATTATTGTTAAGAACTTCTCGAAGAGAAAAAAATGCTTCAGATTGGGATTGAAATAGGCTTTTTCCGTGTGTACGTAACCATCCGTTAACTCAAAGTGAGTTAGAAGAAGTCGTCAATCAAATTGAAGATGACGAATGCGAATAAGAAAGCGAAAAAGAAGATCCGGAAGAATCTGAAATTATGGATGGTGATAAATTTGATGCAGGTATTCCAAAAGATTCTAAAGAAGATGAATTTGTTGATGTCTCTTTACCATCTACCAGAACGAAAAAGAGTTATGTATTCAAAAAAATGGACGTAAATGGTATTTCAATAAATTTCCTTGCCAAAAATATGAGAACTTCTAAGAAGAATTTATTTATTATGTTTTACAATAAAATAAAAGGAGGTGTTGGTTGAAGTATTAGATCAGCTTTGTCATTTAAAAACGATATCTAGAAAAACTCGCAGAGGATATTTTATGGCATGGTTGACATAACAGGGCAACTCATATGCCATTTATAAATGTAATAAGACACGTGATTACCAACAGCCTAAACGTTCAGATTTCCTTAGAAATCTTTCGTTCTTCCTAGTTGAAGACCATCTCAGAGAGAGGATGAACAATGGTCGACTTCCAAGAGAAATGAGAGATATTATTTGTAATATTTTAAAATATGAAGATGATGAACCTTAACAAAGATCTGAACGCCATGGGGCTCTATTTCTATGATTCTCGCTTTTATTCACCGACGTCTCCAACTATTTAATCACTAGCTGCAGCGAGATAACTTAAACAGCATGCCAGAAAAAATAACTACTATATTTTATCTTTCTACTTGAATAATTTTGCGGTCAACCCTCAATTTAGCAAAAAAAGCACAACGTCTTTGACTTACCTCATGTAATTCTTGGTCTTCATCACCTTCTGGTCATATCGTCTCTTCATATACAAGCAAACGCATATTACACCGATAATTAATATCCCTGCGATGATGACGTTCAATATAATGACGGCAGTTTGGCATTCGACTCCGAACACTTTGGCTAATCCGTCAACCGCGCAACTAGGTGGCGGTAGTTCACCGTCTTCGGGTATCGAACCATCTGGAGTAAACCTGGAAACGAATATTTCGGTGAGTCTGCAATATTATAAGAAACGTTTAATAACAATTATTTTTAAATAATTTCGCTTCTTCCTGCGTATGTTTATTGGCTGTGGTACGTTAATTAGTAATTTTGAGTAAAATTAATCATATCTATATGAAAAAGTCCAATTTTGATATCCAGCATACTCATTAAACCTCAGATTTATTAAATCATTGTCCATTCCCAAACACACAACTGTTCTTTTTCTCCTTCTCCTATAGCTTATCACAGTTTTATAAATACCTGCCTAATATTCTTAAATCTTCAGTTAATTAAAAAAATAAAAGTAAAAATGTTAAAACATCTAATTCAGACACTTGCCTTTACCTTACGAATTTGATGTGGTACATGGACTCAGTGAATTTAGTTGTGTATTCGTTTCAAGTTATTTCCATTTACTGTTAATGCTCAATTATACAGTGTATCTACTTAAGTTGGCACCATATAGGAAACTTTTTTATTGTTAGTTATTTTTCATAATAAGTTCTGTATAGTCTTAAACCTAAATTTATAACCATTATATATAAAAAATTTATAATCATATACGAGGTTTGATGAAATATGTGAATTTTATATAGGAGTAAAGTAGCATTATTTTTAACAATATCGAAAATTGTTATTGAGACAACTGAATCAGATTAAAAACTATAATCAAATATTTATTTTCTATCTTTTTAAATTCTAACTAGCGTTTTGACGTTTACTGTATAAAATTTGTCAGTTACATTTATTTTATAAATTTCAACTAGTGTTCAGTTATGAAGAGTCACGATTAGTTTTAATATCTGTAAATAGTATTTATTATAAGGGTTTAATGTAAAGTAATTGTAAAGGTTTCTAAACGCCATAAAGTTGAGATGGTTCTTCGAGTTAATAGTTTTTAAAGTTTAATCCGACGTTTTATTCCTATAAATATTGTTTATTGCAAAACGAACCAGTCAATAAACAACTTTTATAGGTTATAGAATGGAAACGGAAACGGGCGCTGGTAGAAAGAGAACGGTTGCAGATTATTTTGAACAGGGTAGTAGTAAAGAAGCGAAAAAAATTATAAGTAATGACAAAGGTAAAAGGAGCATCTTTTGGAAACATTTTGAGAAGATGCAGATAGATAAATCTGAAAACGAGAAAGCGAAGTGTAATATTTGTAAAAAGACAATCTCTTTGGGTGGAAGAGGAAGACATACAAAACCTTCAAACTTAAAATCACATTTGGAAAAGTATCAGGATGAAAAATTTCGCAATGTTATAAGAAAAGGTAAGTTGGTTTTATTTATTCATTAAATATTTTAATACAGTTTTAGTTTATGAATGTCCAACATTATTAAATGCACAATCAAAATACAAATATTGCTGAAAGTTGGTGCATGTTTGATATTAGTTTTAGGTGCAAAATATCCTAAAGAAAAATTGTTTTTAATTAAAAGGCATGCATAAATACCTTAGATAAAAGAGACCGAAGATGTAACATTGTACACTGCGCATGTTGTCTGTTTTAACTCCAAGTAACCCACCAATTGAAAATCATTGTTTGCACAACGCCACCCGAATTGCTCCGATTTCCCATTCAACGCTCACCTCCGCCCAATGAAGTTACTTCTTTTGCCTCCGCCTGAGTTTCAAGTTTCAATCACCATTGACAGCTGTTTTTGATTTATTTGTTGGTGTTTTAGCAATTTAAAGTGTTCTAGTTATTCAATTTTAAACTCAAAATGCCACGATGTATCTTAAGAAATTGTATATACATATAATACAAGTACCAGCGTTATGAAATATATTCGTTTTCAGCGGTAAATATTTATTAACGTTTTGACATAAAGCGCCATAATCCTTTGAGCTGAATACATCAGATCCGCATTAAGGGATTTCAATAAATATTCATCAAATACATTTCAGAAAACAAATTTCGTATTACATAAATTTACAAAAGGGTAAAATTTTAAATATTTAATTTAAATAAGAAGTAAATAGACATTGTTGCTAACGAAATTTTGTTTTTAAAAAGTAGTTTTATAAGAATATTTACTAAAGGTGGTTTTTAACTCTTTTTGGTAGATAAATAAGAAGTAAAGAAGCATAGTTGATTAGTAGTATTTTTATAAGAATATTAGATATAATACAGGATGAATAACTTAAAATTTCAAGATAATGTAATAATCGATTTTAAAGGAAATACAAAAAGAAAGTAGAATTATTCAAAATAATCGATTAATTGAAAATAATCGATTTTTTTTTGGAAAAATCGATTTATCGTTTAATCGGTGTTTGAATTAATCGATTATTTTCAATTAATCTATTATTTTCGATTAATCGATTATTTTCGATTAATCGATTATTTTCAAATTTTCAAAGGTATTATATGAAAATAATTGATTGATCGAATATAATTCGTTATTTTATATAACCAATATTTCGGTTATTTTTTAGAAATATCGATTTATCGGTTAATCAGTTTTTAAATATTTATTAATTATTTTTGATTATTGATTTTTATCGATTATTTTAGATTTTTCAAAGATAATAGAATAATCAATTTTAAAGGAAATATGAAAAGGATTATTAGAAAAGAATCGATAATTCGGTTATTTTTTTGGAAAATAGATTTATCGTAGAATCGGCTTCTTAATTAATCGATTATATTCGGTATTTAAATGATAATCGAATTATCGATTTTAAATGAAATACAATAAAAATAAATTATTGATAATAATCGATTGATCGAAAATAATCGATTATATAAAAAATCGACAATTCGGTTTTTTTTTGAAAATCGATTTATCAGTTAATCGACTTTTTAATTAATCGATTATTTTCGATTTTTCAAAGATTATCAAATAATCTGTTTCAATGGACGAAAAAAAATGGATTATTTGAAAATAATCGATTATTTAAAATAAAAGATAATTTTTTGTAAACACTGATTTATCGGTTAATTGGCTTTTTAATTAATCGATTATTTTTGATTTTTCAAAGATAATCAAGTAGTCTATTTTAAAGGAAATACGAAAAACAAATAGATTGAAAACAATGGATTGATCGAAAATAATCAATTATTTTCAATGATCGATTATTTATTTCGACAATCACTCATCCTCTATATTAATTAATATTCCTAAAGAAAGAAGCTGAGGTTACAATACAAAACAGCATTTTCTCATTTTGACTAATTTTTAATAATATGTAATAGCCGTAGAAAAAATATGTTTGACTCAAAAGGTTTGATTTGCAGTATTCGCCTGCGCACATGCTTTTTTATAATACTCGTAGACAATGAGTACCATTTCTTGCTCTATTAACAATATTCTATTTCAACATTTTACTGTAGTATCTTGCTGAAAAGTCCGTAGTAAATAAACGCTAAAGAAATATTCTATAATAGGTCTTCTTTTTACATAAAATGTTGTGCATCTGTTTGATATTAAAAAATCACGTTAATTTTATTTCATAATACAAAATTCCATTAAACATATATTTTAAATAAATCTAATAGTTCATTATGATGCTAATAAACAAAGTCCGGTCCTTGTCACAGATTTCGGGTTTCTGCCCAGTTCCCCCACTCCGTTAACCTTTCTTTAGAAATTGGCAACATTTGCGTAGGTTAAACACCGGTGTATGTTATATCTCTGGTCTCTTTTATCTAAGATAAATACCAAAACATGGCCTCCTAAAAAAAATTCAACTGTTTTCGAGCTAGAAACAATTGCATTTTCCCCCTTCAAACAATTACAGCAGGAAAACGGTTAAATATAGGTAAAAATTAATTTCACTTTCACTACTGCAACTTTTGTAACACTTTTTTGTATTTCTGAAAATAACGGAGTTATGGATGCCTGACGCACTATTGCAGGACCCTGTATTTTTTTACGTGCCCTGTATTGTTTTACTTAAAATAATTCACCTGAATAATTATCGAACATAGACAATACCTTTATTTTAGTTGAGCCATTATTAAAAAAAAAATCCCATATGCTGCTTAATTAAATGACTCCACATACAGTGTGTCCATAAATTGATTTATTTTCGGTTGAAGCGTGCATACTTCTTTGGTTCTTTATTTCCAGATGTTGAGAGGGCCAAAGAATCTACACATAATTTGACAGCACCAAAAGGTAATTCTACTCAATCTGATATTGTGGAATATTTTGAATCAAAAAATGTATAGGACATAAATAGCAATAAAGCAAAGGCGTATCACAAACTAATTGGAGAAACGATTGCAGTTGATAACCAGCCATTTTCAATTGTTACTGATATGGGTTTTAAGGAGGTCCTTTCGCCACCAATGTTAAAAAAAAGTTATTAGATTATGACTAAAATGAATTTTTTTCTAATAGTTGAAGTCTTTATTTACCTAATAGTGAACTTTTAACTATATCTTACCGTGCAAATTTTTGAGAAATATTTTTTTAAAAATGTGAGTATTTGTACACTGTCTTACGAGAAAGTAAGACCTGAACAACAATTCTCGAATTATACTATTATTTATTGATTAGATGGAGTAGAAAAAAACTAAAAATAAGGTTTTTGAAATATTTAGGTTTTGTTTTTTACAATAAAATATATAGGTTACCGTGGAATTTATTGAGAAATTAATATTAAAAAAAAATTTCAAGCAACTTAGTTGAAAATTTTTTGTGATTTTTTTAATATTAATTTCTCAATAAATTCCACGGTAACCTATATATTTTATTGTAAAAAACAAAACCTAAATATTTCAAAAACCTTATTTTTAGTTTTTTTTCTACTCCATCTATCAATAAATAATAGTATAGTTAATTACAATTCGAAAATTGTTGTTGAAGTCTTACTTTCTCATAAGACACTGTACAAATACTCACATTTTTAAAATTCTTTTTTCTCAAAAATTTGCACGGTAAGGTATAGTTAAAAGTTCACTATTAGATAAATAAGGACTTCAACTATTAGAAAAAAATTAATTTTAGTCATAATCTAATATTTTTTATTTAACATTGGTGGCGAAAGGACCTCCATACATGCCTTCAGAAAACTACTTTAAAGAAACTGTTTTACCTAATATATACAAACGATGTAAAGGGATTCTGTAAAAGAATATTGAAGCAAGATCTGGAAAAATATTATTTACTACTGACATATGGACCAGTAACAGCTATAAAGCGTTTATCTCTCTTACTGGATATTGGATCAGCAATGGAACGCGATGCTCCTATGTTTTAAACATGAAAGGTTTTCCGGGAACTCATAGTGGTGAAACCATTGCCAGGTGTTTAACAGAAATGCTTAATGGTTGGAATCTGGCTATAAATGATGTTCAACTACGAACCATGTTTTGTTCATGCACCTTCAACTAATTATTCATGATGGCATCAACAGTTAAAGCGCTATTAATGACGTGATTGCAAAATCTCTGAAAATCGTCGGACATTTCAGTCATTCTCAATTGGCATGTGATAAACTTGAACAATTTCAAAACCAGTTGAATTTAAAAAAGCTATCAGCTCATATATTTCCAACAATGATGGTCTCTGCAACCTAACTTACTCTGAATGGGAATTGGTAAAAAGCATCCTCAATATTTTAAGGACATTTGAAGAAATTACAAAAACCGCAAGTAAAGAATAATGTTGCATTTTTTCTGAAGTAATTTCATTAGTCGTAATCTTAACAGAATATTTATTCAAAGAGGGACCAAACTTTGCTGGTGTAAATACAATAAAGAATGAACTTCTAACAAGTTTAGAGAGACGACTTTGTAATATATTATTATAACGAGAAAATCTGTATGTTGTCACATTCTCAGACCCTAGGTTTAAAATGCATTTGTACCAAAAGATACTAAAGAACAAACATCTCATATTAAAAATTTAATAAAAAGGCAATATACAGTAGCTGAAGTGGATCCAGAATCTTTGGAAGATGAAGATAATATTCCCTTTAGCCATTTACAAAATAAGCAAAATACATTTTATGAAACTTTTGACAGGATTGCCTCTATTTCAGCTTCCGAGACCAGTACTACAAAATACATGAAGCAAGGATGTGAAAATGAAATGATATATTTGGCATCTTCAACTCTATTAAAAGATAAATTAGGATTTGTTTTACTTTTTTAGTACAAATGTTACCTTTAGAATAAAATTTTTTATTTTGTTTAATAAAGTATTTCATTTATGCACTGAAAAGAGTGAAAAGCGCAAATTTTTTTTTGCCCATATATCGGCAATTATTTTGCCGATACGATACCGATAATCGGTAACAACTGCCGATATACCGATATCAATATCGGTATCGTTCTATCCCTAATTATTACTATTATTACTATGGATATAATTTTTCTCCATTTTGTCACCAAATTCACTTTTTTTCATATTCATAAAATTGTTAACCAAATTACTTACATAACACCACAAGTTATTTAATTATAGATACTTACCATTTGACTTCTGCTCTCTTTAGAGTCAAATTTCCTCCATATATATCTGTACTGTTTGTCGAAACGTTAGGGTAAAAACTGCCGATGAAATTCTTCTTTCCATTGTACCACTGGATGATGTTAATGGTCGAAACTCGCGTTGAACCACCCTTGAAGCTGATATGACCTGAAACGCCGTGGAAGTCGATAGCTTGGATGTAATTTTTTAGTTTTCTGTAAACGAAAATAATAATGTTTATTTCAAATTTAAACCACCCTCGTATTTTCAATAATTTGGTATCCATTAATAATTTTGGATATTTGTTCAATTTTGGCCATTTATATGTACAATAAACAATAGTAGTTTGTGCAACAAGAGTGGATATGGATATACAAATCTACAAATTTAAAAAATTATTTTATGTTATTAAAACAAAATAACTAATTTTAAAATAATTTATGACTTTTACTAATTTATATAATAAAATAAACGTGAAAAACAGTATATTACCCGAGAATACCGATATTACATTATGAGTGTGAAAAATCTCTTTTACACAAGTGACATACAACATTTTTCCTACGACCACAAAATGTGGCTGGTTTTAGATTTGGTTTTTATGTAGTTCGTTGAATAATTTTTGTGTTTTACATATTGTGTTTTGACGAAATTAAAAACGTGATTTCATATACACTTTCATAGGATAATAACGGTAAAATAACATTAGGAATAAAAAAACTATTAGAATACAATAATGTTTTTCATTCGTTGATTTTTTTAAATACAACAAATAATAAGATAAACAACAGTGAACTTGTTTATTATTAAAAATGACTTCCTACTCTACTTACAATTTTTTTCTGAAAATGAATCAAAATAGTATAAAATAAATAGCAAAAAGATTAATTGTAAATGTTTTATTAAGAGAAATAAAATGTACCTATTTAAAATAAATAATAATAGTATTAAGAGTGGACACATTATATTTAATTTATTTGGTCATAGCTTTTAGTCTGTCATATCTATTTCATGAGTCAATTTTTCTGTAACATCGATAGATACTGTTTCTTTGTCACTTTGTATATTCATTCTGTTGGAATTTGAATTATAGGCCTGAATTAAGTTCCAACTGATGCGATCCCAAAGAATAATTAAGACTAATTCGGTACCCGTAGCACCATCTAGCGTCGAGAGGGCGGAGTGCGATTGACACAAGGTAGTGTTCTACGCTTGTGGCGGGCGCATTTCGTACCGCTGCGCAGCTGGGTGGCCAGAGATGCCGGACCGGCGCGCGAAGACTCTCGCTTGGTGATGTAGCAAGGTACTTTTTTGGGGTGTTTTGTTGTGAACAGACGTGCGAAAAAGTCGATTGTTTTTTTATATCATGTGGAAACACAAAGTAAGAGAAAAATTGAACTCATTATCATTAAGGATTCAGTCCCTCATTTAGAATAATTAGTAATAATAGTGGTCACTAGTATTATTTGTGCTCAGAGTGGTGGCAAGTGGCAAAAGCCCAGTGGGATAATAATTGACTATGTGAACATAATAAAATAAAGGCAGTTAGTAAAGTAAAGGCATTTTAATGAACCAGCCCTAGTAAGAGTGTCGAAGGTCTCATAAACTGTTGCGGACAGCAAGCAATACCCGATGTGAGGAAATGGCGGCCAAGAAAATGATTAAGGCCCAATTTCCCTCACATTCCTTTTTCTGCTTTCGTTGTATTTACAGCTTTAATAGTAATTATTAAAGAATAGTTATTTCTCAAATATTTGTTTTTGTTCCACTCATATCCTTTAATAAATAGTGGTACTTTTTCAATTTTCATATTTTTTAAAAATAAAAAAAATTGCTTCGATCGATGGGGATTGAACCTTCGTGATGTGGCCAAAACATGCAAAGTTGATAAAGTTTAACGCTGTATGAGCTAAGCTAACAAGCTTGTCGCATGAATTATCTAATTAAGTATTTATATTGACAAAAAAAAAATGTAGTTACTATGAAGACTAGATATAAGGAGGCGAATCGGCAATGATCAAATTTCAAATTTGTGTCCTTCTTTTTATAAAGTTCGCTAAATTGACTGTAGTTGGCATGTCTAATGACAACGCAGTCAATTTTCTATGTAAGTCAATGTAAAATGAAGTGATTTTTTAAAAAAATTGGTGAAAAGAATTAAAATAATGTGAAAAAAAGTACCTAGGTACATGTAACATGAGTGACAAAAAACATTAAAGCAAGATTTACTTCGTTCCACATTGTATGTTATGTTGAGAATGGGGTGTTAATACACTGCGACCTAAAAGATCTATTGTGCCCCCTTCTGTCGCCACTGCACTAAGGAAATGTCTCAATGCCTATAACGACCCTTCCAATCCTATTTTCTCAAGGAAGTGTAGGATTTGAAGTGGCTTCAAGATAGGTAAATCTCCCTCTTCTATTTGATATCCTCCTAGATATAGTGCCCTTGGATTCTGGAGTGCTACACATTCAGTTAGGATGTGAATGGAGGTTTCGTCCTCCTCTTCACAGAATCTGCACTCACTATCCTCTACTACTCTCAGTTTACTTAGGTGTCCTTTTAGTCGGCAATGCCCGGTAAGGATCCCTGTTACAATACGTAGCCTGTTCTTGCTTAGGCTTAGGCTTCCGATCTTTTCTGGTTATATTCACCCAGAAGTATCTTGGCCTGTCTCAGCCCCAAGAGATTGTTCCAATTATCGGTTCTTCTACTACCCAAGTCTTTTTTAATCTCTCCTAATATTATGTCCTACAAAGGGTGTTTGAGCCCCTTTCCTTGCAAGACTATCTGCAATCTCGTTACCCTGTACCCCGTTATGTCCCGGGACCCAAGTGAGAGTAACTCTATTTTTCTCGCCTAGCTCATTCAATTCTTCTAGGCATCTCCAGACCATTTTTGAGCTGATTACGTAAGAACTCAGGGCTTTAATGGCTGCTTGACTATCGGACATGATGATAATCTCTTGTCTATGATAGTTTCTCTCGATGTTAAACTGGATACACTTCTAGATGGCGTGAATTTCCGCCTGGAAGATGCTTGGGTATTTTCCCAAGCTTTCGGAATGCTTGGTTCTCGGCCCATACACTCCTATTCCAGTTCCTTCTATGGTTTTGGAACCGTCCGCATACCACTGAATAGCACGTCTTTAGGTTGCAAGCGCGATGGATTCTTGGCTCCATTCTTTCTTTTAGCCCAGCTCTGTGGTTTTGAAGTTTTTCACAAAACTGTACTTCTTTTGCATTTCATCCTGGGGCATGTCCCAGGTATCTTTAGTCCTGAAGCAAGTAGACTTTCGTCTGATTACTCCGTTCCTGATCATTCTATATCGTGTCCCTTTTGCCACATTCTCTATTATCAAATGTAGAGGGGTGAGGTTTAAGATCACCTCCATTGCGGCCGTAGGACAGGTTCTCATTGCACCAGTAATGCAAACATAGGCTAGTCTTTGTACTTTTGAGATATTAGCTCTCGTAGTAACTAAACTAGTTCTGTTACTCCAGGCTATAGCCCTGTAAGATACAAATCACATGTAAAACTAAAGAAAACACAAGGAGAAATAATAATACTTTATTGCTTCCAAAACATTTAAGTTTACGGCAAGGGTTTGGGTTTTACAAAGTATATAAATTTATAAACATATGTAATAGTAGAGCTATATAAAAATAAAAACATTTTCCAAGTAATAATGCGAAAATCCTCTCCCGCATTACAACGTATACAGAGGGATAACAATGATTTATTCAGGATACAAAAATTAAATAACAAAAAGAATCTATTCATTTAAAATAAAAGCCCTAAGTTTTAATATATTCCATATACAGGGTGATTTTTAATATTGCGAAAAAATTCAGAGGCGTGTCCCTTGGACGAAATGAAGCAAAAAAGTTCCTATGAACATATGTCCTACGCCTCTTACGATTTTGAACTACAGGGTGGTAAAGTTATAAGAAAAAAACTTATTTTTTTCGATATATTTAATACACCTGTAGATATTTTTCTGAAAATTGGTTCGCAGTTTCTATGCATCCAAAGCCATTTTCTGATACACAATTTAAACTTTTACATTCGCAAAAAATAAGTTTTTTTCTTATAACTTTACCTCCCTGTAGTTCAAAATCTAAGAGGCGTAGGACATATGTTCATAGGAACTTCTTTGCTTCATTTCGTCCAAGGGACACGCCTCTGAATTTTTTGCAATATTAAAAAAACACCCTGTATAACTCGCTAATGTTTTGGCATTGTCACTTGTCCAGAGCAGAAATTAATGAATCTATGTTCCGTAAAAAAGGAAATTGTGGTTTCATAACTGTAAATATTGGGCAATCAAAAAGCAAGTGGTTAAGACTTTCATATTTATTCATGTTACATACAGCTCATAATTCATCAGGACTAATAGAATAGTAGCTGCCGTTTAGTGTAAAATAAAGTTTAAAACCGTTAGACATTCGAAGTTAAGCAATAGTGCGTGTGACCTGGATTGGCAACTTAAGCAATAAGTAGGATTTTGCATTTCTAGTCATATCAAAACCAGTATATAATGACATAAAAGTGCAACGCTAAGCTTGTTATAACATCTTCTTGTTTGACTTCAGAGTAACCGTGTCTAAATTTTCCCATATATTTAAAGCTTCAGTTAATTCAAAAAAGTTACGTAGTTGGCTAGCCCAATTAAAACGTACATCAGAGCAATTTGTTTATTTTTTTTAATCAATCAAAACAAAAGTTTAGGGTAACTATTACTATTCATTGCTAGTATTTTGTATAACCAGTGTGACGAAGTCACTAAATTTTGCTCTCAATTAATTTAAAAAATGTTTATTTCAATTAATTCCCGCCTGAGGACATGTAGAAGATGTTTCCCAGAAATTGCCGTTTTTCAACAATTGAGAGTACCCTCGTAGGTTAAAATATTCCTATATTTGCCGAAATCCGAATGGGCATTTTGTAGAGTCGATTTCGTACCGATTATCTACTTTTATTTGTCAAGGTACTAGAAAGACATTTTTTTTATTAGTGGTGGTATCCCCCACTCGGGCTTACCGGTCTTCCATCTTGCCCAGCGAAAAAGCATAAATTCGATCAGATCTGGGAATTACCCTTTCTTGAATTCCGGCAGCCGTAAACTCTTCTCTCTCCTGAAGTGTCGAGTGAAATACTCCATGAGTGACCGTAATATCGAAAGAATATTGAACAACCCCTTTTCTAAAGGTA